CTGCTGAGCTCCAGTGACCTGCTCTTAGCAGACTTGTCTCTGCCTGTGCGCGTGTGGTTGCGGGTTTGCTCGTGTGTATTTGTATGTCATTATCTACTGTGTAACATTCCACAACACAAGCACATTTCACGTAGTTCTCTGCACTATAAATCTAAATGCAGTTCCTCCATCAGTCAGGCAAACACAATCTCGCATAGTGATCTGATGTTCTATTAAGGCTGAAGTCAGTTGCATGCGCAAAAGCTGAAAGCTTTGAAATTTCACATACTCTTAAGTAAACAGATATTAATAGATTATTAAAGGAAAGGAGTTTTTTTTTGCAGTGTAAACATTTTGACCCAGTCTTTAGATTACAACTCTTCGAGCTGTAATCACAGTGAAAGGTGGTTTGGTGTGAATAACTTTTGAGGTTGACCTCTCTGACGTACTAAGCTGCCAAAAGCAGTAACTGCACAGTTACAAGTTTACCAGATATTTCTAAATTGGCTTTTATAAGTTTTCTGTCTTTTCACTCACAATGTTTAATCTCCTTCCTTTAATAACAGGTCAAATGAAGAGAGAAAGCAGAACTAGTGAAATGTGTGAAACGGTTCTGTCATCGGGATGAGCCGCTACGCCCTCCGGCCTCATCATCTGGACTGAAGTTGAAATTCTTTTCCTCTGTCATCATCAACGTTGGAATATTTACAGAGCCTTGACAAGCGGAACAAGACACAGGTGACGGTGACACAACTTATCACAATAGACATATACAAAAGGAAATGTTCAAAAAAATGATTTAATTTGTCACAGAATTGTTTTGAATCAAGCTATTTTGGAGCGGATCCTTGTATGAAAGGCACATTACCATAGTTTGATTGGAGTCTTAAGTACTGTACTAACAGCAACCACACTTTTCAGGATTTTCCTGAAAAGTGTATGGTGCATTCACTGACCAGAAAACAATAGGATTTTTCGTAACCCTTTTCTGACAGTCCAGTCACCGATCAGGGCTGATCCAGCAGAAAACAGTTTTTGCATTTCTGCAAATTATTCCAGCTCAGACTGGTGGTGCATCATCTGCTCTGCTGCAGCTCATCCTCCTGAAAAGTAACAGATACGATGCTGCACCCGCTTCTTTCTTCTGTTGCCATGACGGTTGCTTTCTCACTATTAGTCAAAAAGAGTCGGGGTTAATAAAATTAACATTTTCTGTAACCACTAAACCATTATTGTGCTGCTTATCTCAGCTTTAGTTTTTTTCTCCCTCCCCCCATTCTGTGCCAAACTGTGGCATATGCTGCGTTTAAACACTTCAGCTCTAAAAGTGCACATATGTTTCTTCGTATGTTTGAAGTGCTAAAAGCACTGGCACAGAGGAGACCTTTTGTAGCTGACAACGGTGGGCACTCTGCCCAATTTTTATGCTTTATGGACGTGGATCACAACTGTAATAGCCTCAAGCCGCAGAGAGGCCGCCCCCATCCCCGGTGTGAAACCCAAACATGACGGCATTGAACAAAAACTGAAACCAGCATCAAATCTGTCTGACACCCCATCCCATGCTGTCAGACTGTCAACAATTGCATTAACGCCACACAAAAGGAAGCAGGGAGCTAATGAAATGGCGGCATGGGAAAACAAGCCTCGGAGGCAGATTTCACACTGCAGCAGGAGGTGATGTGTCCCGATTTGGAGAGAAGAATAGCGGAGAGCTGAGAAGAGAGCGATCAAGGTCTAGCTCCTGTTTTAGAATGAGCCAATAAGACCTCACATCCTGCAAGAGACCATTTAAGGGATAACTTCATTTCCAGTCCGAGCTAGAGTTCAACATGATTTGAGAGAAATTGGACAATTAGAGCTGAGCAAGCAGCAGCTTTTGTAATGTTTGATTGTGATTCATAACCTGATGGAACCAGTGAAGCCAAAATGGGGGGAAAGGAGGAGAAATAAAAGAGGTCTGTAATGTATTACATGCCTGTTTGATCAAATTAGAAGTAGGAACTTTTTGAACAGTTGCCAGAAGGCAGAGATGCTGAATGGACAATCTCTTAGAAAACCATATAAGTAGTTTATTGTAATAACATGTACTTTTATTTCAAACATCCAGAAATGAAGCACTGAAGGGGGTGATTGATGCTGAGTTCTTGGTTATCATTTGAGTTTTTCCTTTTCTGTTCTTTATTTTTGTTAAGTCATGTTATATAGTTCTTACTTCTTGAGTTTTGATTCTCTAATGTCAATCTTGTTAACATTCCTTTGTGTTTTGTTAATTAGTCTGCTTCAGTTCATTCCACCTTTTATCTCTCATGTATGCTCCCAGAGGATCGTTAGTTTCATAAACTAATAGATGGAATCAGTCCACATGCAGTCAGCTGTGGGTTAACTCCTCACCGACCGTCCCTCATACATTATGTTCCTCCAGGTCCACTATGGTTGATTTTGCTTCAAAATAAAAGAAAGTGTAGTTGCTGTCATGGTTTTTCCTCAAATTTAGTTTCTCATTGAGCTGTTTTAACTGCTTTCCTTCTTAATCAGCAGCGTAGTGGTCGTTATTTTGATGAAAAAATGATTTAGTCTGATCGATTTCGGTGTGTTTTAAACTAAACATTATGTTGCTTTTTCCGACAACATATTTGTTAAATCTTGCGAATGTATGGACACTCGCATGCATTCTGCTTAACTAACAACTATGAATTCGCACAATACACTCTGACGTTAACAAAATGTAAGCAATCTTGATGGATTTCTGTCGATCTATCTCTTCAGTGAGGTCAGTTATATGCAGATATTTCTCGTCATGCGCGGAGTCCATTTTACTACATTTTTGCTCGAACTCTGTGACCTCTTTTAGTGAGAGTTGTCCTGATTGATGTGCCGAACATGTGGTCAGGGTCAGCAGTGGGGCAGTGAGGATACGCAGACGGCCCGGAAGCCAGACAAGTTTACAACACCTTTTTCACGCGTTGGAATGTCATCTCTCGCTCAGACTCACTCGCTCCCCATGTCCGGGTTGGTTTGTGGTGCGTTGGGCCGTCCTGCTGCATTCCTCACAGGTTTTGGAGAACATTTTGGTGTTTCATGCAAGAAGGTGGAACATCCTATATTATTGTGACTAATCATGTGTTTTGAAATTCTCATTGTAACACACTGAAAAATGTTAATAATACAGATTTTGATGATTAGAACATTTTCATTTCTTTAAACAAAAGTCTTGATTGTGAAATGCGTTTTTTATTGTGTTCTATATCAATTCATTCGGCTTGAGTTGATCTTTTAGCCACATTTGTTGCTGTAAGAACATTGACTCAACAGCACTGGGACTAATATGAGTTAAAGAAAACTTTGTGCAGAGAATTACATTGAGACTTTTTTTTCATATATCAACAGATTCATAGTTGGATACAAAATATTTTGAATAAATGATTGGGTGGGGTTCAGACCACTGATTACTTTTAAACATCTTTAACAACACTGTTAAAGATAAAAATGAGCGAGTGAGTGTGATATCAGAAACTGCAGTGGGGCAATTTTTAAATTTTTTTTAAATGCAGAAACATTTTTTGACCTTAAAAGCTTTGCAGGACCTAAATGTCACCCAGGTGCTCTGTTGATTTCTACAAAAAACTGCAGGTGTGTTTCTTGATCAAGGATAGAACGCAAAACTCATGCAAATGCAAAAGTCATTTCTGTGTCTGGTGTCCTTGTCCTGCTGAAAGGTGATTCTCTGCCCCAGTTCTTTGCAGCCTCTAACTGGCTTTCTTCCAGGGTTGTCTTATATTTTGCTTTAGGTTTTGTTTTGTTGGCTTTAGTAGTCTTTATTTGGAAGTAGTTTGACAGGAAAGTGGGTAATGAGAAAGGGAAGAGATGCAGCAAATGTCACCAGGCCGGGAATCGAACCTGCGACCACCAAGACCTCTATACATGGGTCGTGTTTTCTTCCCCTGCGGCCTCAGGTACAACCACTCTTAAACACAATTTGAGATGTACGAAAGCATTGGGCTTTTGATGATAGCTTAGCTTCAGAACCACCTTAAAGAAAAATGAGGGTAAAAAATGATCAAACCTGAAATGAATGACTCTACAGCGACTACTCACTCATGCAGAAAACACTGACGTGGCGTAATCGGATGTATTATCCTGTTTTACTAAGGGATCTTCTCATCAGCAATCCTCGCCCCCTGGTTGCGTGTGCAGATTTACAGCATGTCAGCGCTGACAGCTGGAGAAGCTCTATTAAATAGGTCACCACATTCCTCAGGTCTATCATTAAAAATGACCCAATGCCCCTTCACATGTAAAAAAGAAAAAACATACCCACACACACGTGCAAGTAAAACCACCAACAGCTTGTAAAACATGACAGATTTATCCTCTTCTTTTCCTTTACTCTTCTGGGTCACTATTTGCTCTGCAAGCCATTTTATATATGAGCATTCAAATGCTGAGTGCATGATATAAAGAATAAAAGTAGACCTTTGATACACTTTCACACATTATATGTGTTGTGCCGATTCAGTGTTCATTGTGAAATTAATATGCTCTGCAAAGGTGGGGTATATGATTTTTCTTTTTTATATAGTCAAACAGGGATTCATCTTTTGCTTTTATATTTATCTAAAAAAAAAAAAAAAACTCCTGCAAATTGAAATGTAGGGGAAAAAAGTAGCCTGGGGTTCTGAAATATTGGTTGCTTGTGCCAACATGCGAGACATTCATTCAAGTGAGTTTTGCCAACAAGTTTTGATGGATTTAAAAAAAATAAATAACCACAAATTCAAGTATGTTTGAGCTTTGCGGTTTATTTTTGCACCCATGCATTTCATGATGCAACATGTGGCGTCATTGCTTATCCATAATTGGAACCAATTTCCTCCTTTCTGTAAAATATCTCCCAGCCTTGACTGTTATTTGAGCTCTCTTGGATCCATCAGGTTGCTGCAGCTTTACCTCCACCCCTTTTTTTCACTAACTTTTTCCTTCAGTGGAACTCATTCATTCACTCCCAACACATCAACCATCTGTCGCTCTGATACAGACAGATGTACCTCTTCATTCTCTCTTAATCATCTATATAGCAAAGGATACAAACTTGGACCTTGTTTTTTTGTTTTTAACAAAAAGGATAATGTCTTCCTTGGTAAGTGAAAAAGCTGTAGCCCATTCTAGGCTTACATGTAAAGCCCAATAATATGATTGCTCTTTGATATGCTATGTCAGAGTAGTTATACATTTCAACATCACAAAACCCTTGCAGACAGAACCTCTGAATTTAAGCAAGATACTCTGATTTTGAGGTTCTTCTGTTGCTCTTTAAAGGTAAAAGGTAAATTTCTGTTTTTAAAGAACAGAAAGGGTAAATTTCTGTCAAAGTAAAGTAATGCCTCTAAAGGCCAGGGACCATAATGTGCTCCTACCTTTCTCCTTGTCTGCAATAAAAATTAAGCGATTAGTGGACATTTTTAAACTCGTACGTCAACCTCCTGTGCCGGGCTGTTACCAGTCCACATGTGCATTTCTTTGGTTGTGCATCTACCCATTCAAATTCAACAGAGGCTTAAAAGAGGAGATGCATTATGCAGTCGTGTCAACTATAGTGCATCATGAATAGCATATCAAGTTGTGGGAAAGCAATGTCAGAAGATGAAACTATACGTAGGGTAAGTGGAGGGGTTATGTCTGCATAGACTTACGAGGGTTGGTTGGTTGAGTGCAATTGCAAATTGTGTGACAAGAATCTGCAACTTGTAAGTCTTATCAAAGTGTGTATTTGCTAGCATGTGAGCCAGCTGTAGGTCTGATGTGTTGCACCAAAGACATCTGCCAATGTATGCAGTAGCTTCAGAGTGGTGTGTGTGCATGTGTGTGTGTCTCTTCACTGTCACCAGTTTCCCACCTACGGGGATAATCCATCCTGTGAAGTGGTGAGGTGGAAAATGCCATTATGTAGAAATAGCTGACATGCAGTTAGACTTGCAGGCATATGAAGTGTGTATGCGTGAGTGTGTGTGAGAAATTGAGATAGGAAATAAAAGGGGAGGGGTGGGAATAAAGGCTAAGGGTGGTAAACCTCATTTTGTAACATTACTTAATCCACATGGAAAAGCGAAGAACTAAAAGCCGCAAACACAATAAATGCACTTTCTTTCTGACAAAGCAGAAAAATCCTTGTGATACCAGCGTGGCAAGAGAGCAGGATATAGTCACAAAGGGATCATTGTTTATTTGACTTATGATTCTAGACAGTGCAGGAATGTCTTGAGGCGTTGTCGCTGTGAGCAGTGATGATGTCTGACATCCATGCTGGTCATAAGTTAGGTATTTGGAGGAACACTGTGGTTAGCACTTAAATACTGACTGACTGCAAGATATTTTGTCGAAAATAGATGTACAATGAATGAATTACCACAATACAATCTAATTGTTCATTGTTTGATTTATGACCAGACTGCAAATGCGCATTTTCCAAATTTCTTTTCACTTGTCGACATGCTAACATTTTAAGCTAAGGAGCTAAACATTGTTCTGTTTATACTTCCCAAATCTGCTGTTTTGCTAGTAAGTAGTAATACACATTAATACACTAAAAATTTTAAGATATTTACATTTGCAAATAGTTATAGAAAAATACACTAACTCACTGCACCTATAATCCACAAACTCTTCTAGGAAGTCTGTTAACAAGGCTTGAGTTCAAGGGAATACTTGACTATCCTTCCACAAGAGTAGATGTGAGGTCAGACGCTGATGTTGGCTTACGCAGCCTTACATAATTATTCTCTAACATATCCTCAAAGGGGTTTATCCATGCTAATTCCTGCACACCTAACACCTTTGCTGTGTTCATGAGTGCTGGGCCGTCTCCAAGCTGTTTGCACAAAATAGAGTATGATATCCAAAATGGTTTTACATGTAGCAACAACCAGAGATCCCATTGGTGCTTTCAGTGTTAAATTACATTATCCACTTAGTGTCATCCTATGTTCCCATTTGCTTCCATTTGATGATACTTCTGATAGCTGATGGTGTAATTTTTATCACTAGAGAAATTTCATGAAGAATATTTTTTGCACCAGTTGGCAGCCGATAACAGAAACAGTCTGCATTGCTGGGAGATTAAAACATTAATCATGCTTTGGCTCAAAGGGAAGTAACCTGAAAACGACTTTAAGTCAAAATCTGTGTTTAGTTTAAATTAACCTAACAGCATTATTTTAATTTCTAAACAGTTGCATTTGTTTTAGCTTTAAGAAAAGGAGAAATCTGCTTTGTTCATTGCTTCAAATTGATCAGTCGATTCCGGTAGCAGGGGTCCCAGAAGTAATTAAAGATTACTCCAGTGCCAGAAATGAACAAGATTAACCTTGAAATGCCGACTCTTGGCATTGTGATGCAGTCGCAGCTCATTAAAAGAGAAGCGGAAAGGAAGAGGATCAAAGTTTGGATCAGAAAATGTTGTTCTCAAATCCTCAGGGTGTGTTTGCTGTAGTGTATTTAAAAAATGTTCAGGAGGAGTGCATGGCTTTCCTGCCAGCTGTTGGACAATAAACAAAGCCTTTAATGTCACGGAGTTGCTGAAGTGGTAATGTGGGTTGGATTATCCGGTTCAAATCTGTTTTATTCAACTTTGTCCACAAAAATTAAGTTTGGTTTGAAGGTAAGATCTTAGTATTTGTCTCCACAACTTAACAGTATAAATAATAAATTTTAAACACTAAAACATTCTAAACATCTTGTATCTTTTTATCTTTTATTGTAGTTTCTGTAGCGGCTTGTTTAAGGAATTTTTTTGCCACTTAAAATACACTTAGAAAATGTTTCCTTAAACTAAAACCAGTCTAAGGCTGAAAGGTTCTGCTTGCTGACACGGCACACAGAAAGTAATCCCCTACCTGCCATTTATAATGACATGAGTTTATCCTGCCTGCAGTATAACACTAAAGTGATGCATGCAGAGACAGATCTTAGATCTGCATCGGTATGTGAGAGGGAAAGTGAAGTTCCTTGGCTCTTCAAGCCCTCCCAGTTCTCACTTCCATCTGCAGTAGTTGTAAACTATTCAGCCTTCAGCCATTCTAACCAGATGGTCAAATCACATGGAGGCATTTTCTGGAATTCAAATGACTTCACATTTATCTTTGTTTTTTTTTTAATGCTGTAATCACATAGATTTACCACTGAAGTGCTCTCCTGTGGAAGCTTATGAAGCCAATTGGCTTGATAGATGGGTTGTGACTCTTTCAAGCTCAAGTGAATTTTTAAAAACGTTTTTCTGTTGCTGAGTGAAGGCAGAGCTCTTTTTGATGTCAGTCATTCACACATGCTGGTGTAACTCTCACATCCACATGTTTGCAGGTATGTGGGGATTAGAAACCAAATGTAAAAAATACTAGCAGGAGTTCTTGATCAGCTCAGAGTTTTAAAAGGAGTTCATTCTTCTCGTTAATGGTAAGCTCATTCAGTGTGGTTTTTAACAAGTCATTAGTGCTGTGTGAGGTCTTGGCAACTGCACCGTACTGACTAAAGATTTAGTCTGATTAGATGCTGATTGCATTCGCTAATGTGAATGTTATTCATTAAACTATTTTGTAGATAAATTAGCACGATGCTTGACCTGAATTCGCAGACTAAAGCAGAACAATACCCTTTAAAATAAATTTGTAACACAGAGGGATTTTTAAACATTGCTCAACCCAAGCATTTATGGTGCACTGCGTTTATAGAAACATGCCTTGGCGCCATTTTAGCCCAGAAAAAAAATATCCATAAATTTATAAGTGTTGGTACGATGTTAGATTCCTCAGTTTTTTCTTCCATTGCTGTCTGTTTTCTACTGCTTGTTGGAAAACGTCATGGTCATCCTAATTCTGATTAGGATGTTTGATGAATGAATGGATAACCCCTGTTTTTAAGAGAAACATAGCTCAGAATACAATGGCCAACTTCCAGTCTTTAAAATTTAAAGCTTTTACTTTATGCCATTGATTTTCAAATGATTCTGGTTTCTATAATTAATCCTTTCAAATATTTGTCTGGCTTTTCTACTGTAAGCAAACGGTAATTAAATTAAAGGCGGCAGACTCTGAAATTAGATTCAATTAAAAATGTTGACAGGCTGCCAATATTTCCAAATTCAGTAATTATTTTTCGGTGGATAGGTTTTTCTTGTTTCCTGAAAGTTTGTTGTTGTTGTTTGATTTTTGTTTTGTTTTGCTTTTTTCACTCTCTTTCTGGCTATTACAGTAAAACAAGTCATTTTTAGGAAACAACCAAAACAATTCAATGACAATCCTGACAGAAGTAGCTTCAGAGGCTGCTTGAGAATTTAAAAATCTGTCATCATTACTTTGCTGAACTGTACGTCCAACTTATTTTTTGCTTCTCCATATATTAATGTAGAAAACATGAAGCTATGATGCAATTAAAGGATTTATTTTTTTGTATATTTCCAGTGTTTTTGCATTTTTGTCAAACTTAAATGTTTCAGATGATTACATATCATACAATGCATGACAACCTGAATAAAATAAAAAAGAAAAACTTTTAAAAGAATTTCATGCATTACAGGAGACGAGCAATGATCCTCCTTTTACCCTGTAACAAAAAGCAAATTTAGATGATGGATGGATGGAAAGAACCTATCCAAGTCAAATTGGCTCAAAATGAAAACATAATGATCCCCTTATTCTAAAATGAGATGTTCCACCCTTGGCAACAACAACTGCTATAATTTGTGATACTTGGCAATAAGTTTTTAACATAACAGAGTGGAAATGTTGGCCCACTCGTCTTTGAATTTACATGGGAAGTTTTCTTTCTTTCTTTATTTTATTTTGACATGTCAGTTTTTGAAATAGCCTACCCAACCATTTAGGTAGTCTTCCTAATGTGCTTTGGATCAATGTTCTGATTCATAAATTAAGTGCACCAAAGTTTGTTTTTTCTTGTAGAGAGCATAATTCATAATTGCCACAGCTCATCACGCTATCACATACATTGCCCAAATGATGTCATGTTTCTGTCATGGTATTAGTTTAATGCACAGTTTGAAGTCATGCTTTTGAATTTTCATTGAGTCCACAGACTACTGTCACAAAAGTCTATAATCATGATCATTTGGATGTTTTGGAGAGTTGGTTTAGAGAACATTTTTCCCCCAAGTCATTTTCTCATTGATGAACCATGAACGCTGACATTAACTGAAGCAGATTACACAGTCAGTGTTTTAGATGTTTGTGACTTCTTGCAAGTTTCTATTTGACAACTTAAAAGCTGCTTGATGTTTTGTTCTCTCTGACCTCAGCTCGCAGGTTGTAAAACTGTTTGCAGGGAAGTGATTGAGGCCAGCAAGAGTTCAAACCCCTAAACTGCACATTATAAATATCTAAAGATTCTCCAAGTTTTGTTTAGAACCTCAACATTAAGCATATAAAGATCTGTCGAGAAGACTATCAGAATTGAAGGAAAACAATGTTGAATAGGACTTTTGCAATGCAAAAAAAAAAATGTCTGGGGTTGTTTTAACTTAATTACTTTGTCACTGCCTGTTCATCTTGTGTATTTTCAGAAAGCAGCATGGAGGCGTTGTAATTGATTGTGAAGTGGAGTTTATGCAGAGCTTGAAAGGAGAAGCTGGTGACTGAAGAAGGAAACAAGGAGAAGACGAGCATGGCGCACTCATCTGTTTGGATCTTTCTGTTGTGCTTTTCTCTCACTCATCAAAGGGCGGCAGCCCAAGCTGAAGGTATGGGATGACATTTAAATACCTGATCGGAACACCAAGACACAATTTACTGCATCAGATATTCCCCCTTTTTTACAATTTTGAAGAGTTCCAAGAGTTTTCTGGAAACATTTATTTTAAATGACCCCTTTTTATGTTCTTAGGCTGAAGCTATATTATACCAAATTATTTAGCAATTGGACAGATGACTTTTTTATGGATCTTTTGGTAAGATTGATGTGTTGGGTACTCAAGCCAACGAATGCTATTCTTCTCAATGAGCATAGCATGTGAGCGGCCTTTCATTACATCTCCTCATGTGATTGGTTCAAGGTGTTGACACTAAACCAGAAGCAGTTTCTCTCCAGACTAAACATCTGCTAGCCTCCTGTGCAATAAACATCTGCAAGCTTGTCAAATACATCCTCTAGATACAGAAAGTTGGCCTCAACTGCTATCGGATGTCATCAAAAGGTCAGTTAGCAAATCACAAGTTTGGTAATATGATTTACAGAAAGTGTTGAGGAATGCACGATGTATCGGCAAAAAACATCGGTATCGGCCAATATTAGTCATTTATTAACATATGTTGGTTCGATAAATACAACTGGGCTGATAGAAGGTGTTGAAGGGTAGTGAAATGTATGACATATGAACAATATCAGTAAATACCGGTTATTGGCAATTGCAGCAATTGATTTCATAGCAATTTATTTAAAATACCCAAATATTTGTACATCCCTAAAAGTGATGCATTAAGAACTAAGGGAAGATATTAAAAACTCAGATGTAAATTTGCACATGCTGATAATCTCTATTATTGGCAGCAATAAAGTCATTATTTATATAAAATAAAAAGAAAAACAGGAAAATGTAACATTTCAGCAGTCTCTCCTGAACTGAGCTTCTTCTTCCACTTGAAGAACTCCGCTTCCTAACCCGAACCCATTTGCCATTCATCCATTTGCATAACTGTATATCATTGGCGTAATGCAAAAATGTACTTTTCAGTTTGAACCAAAATGTTTTGAGTTTCTTCATTCCTCTTGTTCCACCAGACTGCAACGTTTCACCAGTCAATTTGAGAAATTTTCATTTTATTACCTTCTCAGCCTCACACAGACAAGAAGTATCACTGTTGCCTACCTTCCTTAAAATGTGTTTTAGCATGGAAGAAAAAAAAAAGTTTGGCTAAAAAGTTGAATATCAAGAATAACAATAGTGGAGGCCGAATGTAAACACTAAAATGCCATAGTCTGATTCTTAACTATAAGCTTAAATGTTACTTTTATACTAAGTTACAGATCTCTGCATGAATCCCCAGATTTTTCTAATTTCTCTAAAGTACATTTGCTAAACACCTCTCCTCCGGACTTTAAAGTGATCTTGATTAATATTTCTTCAGGATTTGAAAGTTTTCAAGCTTTTCTCATAAAAATTGAAAACCAAGACGTCTCTCAAGTCTTGTAATGTCTTAGATTTGACAGACATTGTTTCTCTGCTGAAGACACTTCAGGCCTTAAACATCTTTAGTTCCTGTTTCCTTCTTTCCTCAGGATGGAAGTTCACGCTGTGCAATATTGCTGTCATAGTCAGGCACATGAACTAAACAAGAAATAAGAAAATGCTAAACTTTTAAATAATACTGAATAATTGATTGTGGCCTTTCAGGCAATGTTTTCTGTTACACATAGTACAACTAAACGAACTAAAGGGCTTCCTGTGCAGGGTCATATTGGCTGGTTAATTTGTCAGGCTAACTGCTCAACTACAGAACCATCTGGTTAACAGATCTGGACCACATATTTTCCTACTTTAGCTTTAACACAGCGTTACCGTAATAAGAATGATGGGTGGCATTCTTTTAGTTCCCAAGAGCCAAATTGTCATTCTTCTGAGGGATATGTATAAATCTTTGTTTTTTTTTCCAACAGCAGTTATGCAATACACAGAAATGGGTACCAATTTGCTCTATACAGCTGGAGAGACATTGATTACATTCTCAGATAGGGTTATCTTTTATTAAAAATTGTACTTGTGCACGAAGCCTGGATGTAACAGGAAAAGAAGGGCAGAAACAGAACGGTAACAGTGTTGCATAATGACGATAAACTGTATCAAAAGTAAGCGAGGAGCATTTGAACGCAGTGGCATGACACTGAAATTATCTTTAGAAAGTTATTTTCTGCTTATCCAACTGACATTTGTGCTTTTTATTGAGTAATGCTTTCATCCTGTGGACAAAATTTTGACTTCTTTTGTCAATTCCTGTTTCTGTTTACATTAAAGCTTGTGCATTTATGCTGACCTTGCTGGCGTTCGTGCTTTTAATATATTTTCACTTTAAAAATTCTAATTGCTTTTTTCGCATTTGCTGGTGCTGAATGCAGTTTGTTTTTTTCTGATGCGATAGTGTTCTGTAGTATATATGCCGGAGCCACTGAGCTACCTCTAATGCTGAAATCAATGGTGGTCCAACACAATGGCGTTACAACCTTTGAAATATCCGCACAGATAACCTTCAATGAAAAACATTTGTAATCTCTCAGCTTGCGTTGTGTCCTCATCCTTGGCATGTCGATCTTGCCTGCCAGCCCAGACAGACAAACTTCTGGATAATTGATCTTGTTTTCCACCCCAGTCTGGCTTTTTCTGACAAACACAAGCCCCCAGCTGCTTCCTTGCTCGGGGCACCCGCCACGTTTTATGTGCTTCTGCAAAAAAATCCGAGCGTAAAAGTGTATCTAAGCGAATAGATTAGCTGCTTATGTATGCAAAACGTGGCTGACTTGTCTGTATGAGACTCAACTCAAAGGATAAAATGGATGCACATTGTTGTAGTTTTTGAAATTTAATCAATGGTTTTTAACCCGTTAGTGATAAATGCAGTGTTGCTGAATATAAACCAAAGCCAGAATGTGCACAGAGATGTCGGCTCAGCACGAGAGAAGCCACAAAAATTGGATTCCTTGTGATATTTGCTGCCTTGATGAGATGTATAGGTGTGTAAGGGAGAATATAATGTTGGATCGGCATGGTGCAGAGACATATGTCAGCCCCTGCGGATCCTGGGACAGCAGCCAAAGCAAGAAGGCGAGATAATAGAAGAGAGCAAGCTCGGTAATCAAATAGAGGACAGGAGAGAATCACTTATCACTTACAGAACAATCAGCAAAGCCCATCTTTTATTTGCCAGCCTAATCAATGCTGTCGTCACTTTGGTTTATTGCATATGTAATGTCAGAATATTGACTCAGAGGGTGTTTGCAGACACAGCAGATTGTGCGTGTGTGTGTGTGTGTGTGTGTGTGTGTGTGTGTGTGTGTGTGTGTGTGTGTGTGTGTGGGTGTGGGTGTGTGTGTGTGTGTGTGTGTGTGTGTGTGTGTGTGTGTGTGTGTGTGTGTGTGTGGGGGTGTGTGTGTGTGTGTGTGTGGGTGTGTGTGTGTGTGTGTGTGTGTGTGTGTGTGTGTGTGTGTGTGTGCTGGTATCCAGACTGCTCTCCTCACATTGAAAAGCATCTAAATGTCTCCAAACTGCATGTTAAATGCATTTGTTAAGCAAGGCAACTGACCCTGATTTTGGGTGTGTTTACCTTATTATTCTAAGCGTCCCTCATTGCTGTACTAAACTTTTATTGCTGGAGTGCTCAGAATATTGATAGTCTCTTTGGCTCACTTGTGTCTCATTAAAAATTCATGGGGATTTGTGTGGTGGTCTGACTTGCACGACAGAAGCCAACGAGAAGGAAAGCTCCTAACACGGTGGAACAAGACTGCCCTCTGGTGGTCAGCCTAGGAATCCACGTCTCAAGCCATTGAAACACAATTTGCTTCTTTTTTCAAGCGAATTTGTTTCATCTGCATAGCCGAATGATAAAGCAGGCTTTTATTTATCTTTAGACAAAGTGGAATTAATTTTTAAAAGACTTTTGCCTATTTTTCATAGACATTGTCTTGCAAAAGTAATTACACCCATTAACCTTTTCCATAATTTGTCACAGCTTCATCCTATTTTATTGGGATTTTATTTTTTTTGTCATAGACTAACAATAAATGGTGCATAATTGTGATAGGGAAGACAAAGATAAATCTTTTTTGGTGTGACTCTACTGATTTTGCACATTAAGACAATACATCTCAATAGCACATAAACATGGTTTGTTAAATGGCGACTAGCTTTCAGGAAAGCAGGATTTGTAGAGATGTTCAAAGCTTTGGATATTGTCTTAGACATTATTACTGGTTGGCACTTTTCCACAAATTTGCTGGTTAAGTTTTTATAATTTTACCCTGTACTTTGCAGTTATGTTTTATTTTTGTGTTGGTCTTTTTCATAAAAGCATAAGAAAATATTTGGGGTTCCAGCACAACACAATACTTATAAGCTCAAGGAATGAGAAAGCTTTTGCAAGGCACTATGTCTCTGTTAAATTAACCGGTTTTGTTTTTTCAGCTTGCAGGACAGTGGAGCAGGCAGACATTGTGTTTCTAGTGGATGAGTCATGGAGTGTGGGTCAGACCAGCTTTTTCAGAGTCAAAGACTTCATCTCAGCCATCATGTCCTCCTTCCAGGACAACGCAGTGGGAGCTGAGGGGGTTCGCTTTGGAGTCACTCTCTTTGGGGATGTTCCAAGGTAGTCAAGCATTAACTTCTGACACCATGTCAAAGACTTGTTTTTCCTCTCGGCTGAGAAGTCACCTAAACAAGTTTTGCAGACACAGAAATCCGTTCCTCTCTCCTGTTCCATCATTTCTACATGACCCAGTTTTGCTTCATGCCTTTGCTCTACAGGATGCTGGTTGCTTTGACAGACTACAGTTCACTTGAGGAGGTGCTCAGAACTGTTGGAAACCTCCCCTACGGCGGAGGATCGAGGAGGACAGGCAGCGCTCTCCAGTTCCTTGTAGATTCTGTGTTCAGCCCTGCCATCAGCCGAGATTTTACCCCAAAGGTACAGCATTTCATATGTTGAGATCAATCATGGGTAACTGCGCTTGTCTGGTTTTATTTAATTGTTTTATGCCTCTAACATGCACATGTTTGACCACGAGTTGGAAAAGAACCCTTTCAAGATACCAATCCATGCTGCAAACACATGCATGCACTGTGCCCCACATCACAGGAAATGACTTGCCAGGAATCTGTATTTGTACTCCACAGGACATCATGGCATAAACAAACAAAGTGGTCTACCATTTCACACTGCCGCGAATTTGATTAAAGCGTCCCGCTGAACGCTTTAAATAAAAATTGATCGCGTGTCTACGGCTGACAGCAGATTTTCATCTGTTCGCATTGTCTTCTGTTTGGAGAGGGGGTGGGGGGGAAAGAAGGAAATTTATAGATTTTCCAGCACAGATTCTGCATGCTCAATCAGGCTGTCAATAATGGACGACTTTCCAAATGGTTGTGAATGTGAAACAATCTGCAAATCCTTTGGTCATTGACAGAGATCAAACTAACTGAGAGTCCCTCTAATAAGATAATACATCAGCATAGATTTCGTTTCATTAAGAAGACATTCTAAAGCATTATTTGCATGGTAGCTTTTCTTGAAGCCAAGATATTTCAAGTGTAGTCTTGTTCATATCTTTCCACTTAATATTTATTCATGTCTGCAGTTCTGGAATGCATCACTCCAAAAAAGGTTTTACTTTGTAATCTTGCAACAGATTTTCTGGCACTGAGAAACCTGTAAATAATTTCAACCCGCATCCTTTTTTTACCCCCTCAAAGTCACCAAAAAAGACTTCATAACTTTTGCTGTCTTTGTAAAGCATAACAGGTTACCCTCTTACACACACATTTTTCAAGTGTGTGTAAGAAAAGAACAGAGGAGGAGGATGAATTATTAAATTCTTCGGTCCGATCATTTGCAGAACAGCAGCCACATTCTCACACCGACCTGTGAGGCTCATCTTCCTCACTCACTCACTCAGAGATAAAGTTTTAAAATTCTGTCTCAGTTGCAAATTTCTCTTCATCCGTTTAGGTAATTTGTCTGTAATTGAGAAGTAAACCATGTCAACGCCTATGGAGGATTTGAGGAGAATAATCGATTTTCAATGGAGGCTTCTTATTTACATTTGTTCGGAGGGCAGATTTAGCGAATTAGTCATCCCGGCAAATAGACAAAACAAAAATAAATTGAGTATACAAGTTCAGGGCAGATACACAGCTAATAAATCTGAATCACACTGAAATTTTTATGCTTATTATTGGCTTTATATTTCCCATTAGCTGTCTCTAAATGGTATTCTAAAATGACATTATCAGCATCTGAATTAGCATGAAAATGGCATAAATTTAAGGCGTGAATAAATATTCATAAACCTGTTAATATATTGTGGCATATGTAATTTCCTGTCTCTCTGTAACACAGATTGCTGTTTTGATCACGACCGGACGCTCGGATGACCAGGTCGACCTTGGAGCCAAGGCGGTTGCAGACAGTGGGATTACACTCTTTGCAGTAGGTGAGTGTGAAAATAGGTATTGAACATTTTTTCAACATCCCTACAGCAGCAACCAACTTTAGATTTTATCTGCTGGTCTATCAGGTTTGTCTTGTTGTTAATCTTTCATGTCCTGTGCATTTGAATTTGTGATTTCAGTGTGTGTGTATTTTCTCATAAACATAATCTCATGCATCTCATTGTGTATTTTTTAAAGTGCACTTCCTGATACTCTAGTTGGCCCTATGCTTTCTTGCCCTCATCCTCACCTTTTTTTGTCCTGCACAATGCCACAACCAAACTTAATTCTGAGGCGACAGCGGTGCGGTAATTACTACTCATTAGCGGATGGTGCGCTAATAGCAGCTATTTTTCATTAGGAGATTCAGTGTGCTTCATCTGCACCTCTGACACAAGAGTTCTCTGCTCCTGTTCATCAACACTGCATTAAATCTCTGCAGCTGTGATGTCCACAAGTACTTAATTAGAAGACTAGCATAAAAAAAAACTATTTCAGTCGCATTAATAATGCATATATTTTAAAGTTTTTCAGGAAGTACTTTCACAAACTTAAACCTATAACACTTATGCCTGAAATTGGTGTTACAGAGTGTAGGATTAGTTCTGTGTGTGTGAATTTGTGGATTTTTTAATGATCTAATATGAAATACTCGACATACAATTCCCCTAGTAGTATGTTGTTTTTCTTTTCAGTGTCAAATTACTGTAATCAAATGTCTGCTCATAATTCTCTGCTTCTCCACACCCTCTTTCTCCCCATTTTTCTCTTTAATATTAAGGCGTAAGAGGAGCCGATGTGTCTGAGTTGAGAAGGATTGTGTCTGACCCCTTCGGGGAACATCTTTTGGAGTGTGCAGACTTCTCTCTCCTGGAAACTCTTCTTCCCAAACTGTCCCGGAGGTTATGTTTCAGTGCTTCTGAACCTCCGCGACCTGTAAAAACCATTCAGCCGAGTAAGCTTGTTCCACAAATACCGTCAGTGCTTTTACGTTCATATGATTATAGTGAGCTGCAAAGGACGTTGTAACCGCTGGACCTTGTTACAAATGTTTTCATCTTTTAAACAGAAACTTCCACAGATTCCATTTGATCAACCAAAGAGAAAATTATTGGAAAACCTTTGAGAACCACAACTTAAGCCAAAACCCGGAAGTGTTTTGAGGCATGTCTGTAACTGCTGCGTGCATTTAGAGGCTGTAGTTTAACTAATAGTTCTAGTTCTGTCATGTTTGATGGAGGCCATCTGTGAACATCAATTACAGCATCTTACCACAGACTGGCACAGATTTGAGTGGACCATTTTAGCACATGAATTTGCTCCGATCTAAACCAGGACGTTCTTGCTGTGGTCGTGCGTTAGGATGAACCTCTACTCTACTTTTTTTCATTTTTTGAAACGTTCAACTTTTTTAGGCTGCTAAACTTTAATCTGTTTGTATGCCAAGCACACTTTTCCTCTTTACTTCCTCTGAGTGTCTGCGTTTCTACAAAACTGCAGGTGAGCAGCACATGGTTGGTCCCAGAGACTTGCAGGTGAGTGAGTTGGCCCACAGCTCCCTCAGGCTGACGTGGAGCCAGGCTACGGGGGACGTCACCGGGTACCGTCTCTTGGTCACACCTCTCAGCTCCAGGGGACAACTCCTTCTCAACCAGCAGAGGCAGGTGAGAGATGGTCAGGCTGCCAGTGTACACCTCCCATATCTGCCTTTCATTCTTTCCTTTACTTCACTTCATTGTCCTATTTCTTTCTTTCATGCTTTCTTGCTTCATTACATCTATATTTTTCCTTCCTTTCTTCCCTTCTTCATTACTTCTTTCCCTTCCTAATTATGTTTCCAGACTTATTATAATAAGAATAATAATCTATATTCTTATAAAATGTTTATGTTTTAAAATATGAAAGAGGACTGATCATGTAGTGAAGTTCTGGAACCTCAAATTTTAAAAGAAAAGTGTCGTAATCTTTATTGATGACGTGAGTGAAGATTACAGTAATGATAATAAACATGCATGTATGAATATTTAATGAACGTGGATCCCAGAAATAGAGTAGCTAATCTTGTCAAATCAACAATATGTGATCAATAGAATTAGGAAGAATTTTGAAATCGCCTGAAGTTTAATGAAAAAATACATTCATAATAAATTATGTTTATAGACATTTCTCTAACTGAACTGCCTCTGGATAATTGGTGCATCTTTTTCTTTAGATGTCTTTCCATGTTATCTCAAGTTGCTTTGCTCTTTCTGAAACATAATTCTTTGATTCATTTTTCACTGATCATCCCTGTTATGTAACAGCTGGATCTGAAGGCAGATGTGAGCACTGCTGTGGTGTCAGAGCTCAGTCCGAAGATGGAGTATTCCCTCACCCTCTACGCCGTCTACCCAAACCTCATCGGCAACTCTGAAACAATCACAGTAAAAACAAGTGGGGATTGTACTTCAGCATATATTTATCCAATTAAAGCCTTCATTGTTTTTATGATTACCTTGCTGTACTAATGTTCTCTAAGCAATGCTCTTCTGTCTTTAGCTTCATTGCCCAAAGTATCAAACTTCCGCGTTATCGAGGAGGGATTATTCTCTCTACGTCTTGGCTGGACTCCTCCTCTGGGAAAACTCAATGGATTCAAGATCTTTATACCTAGGTGTAAGTTGACTCAGTATGACTGGCTTTACAGATTGAATAGCAACAGTGCTTTTACAAGCATCCCTTAAACAAGATAATTTAGACAGTTTTTGTGACTCCAGTGGCCTTCATTCATTAGTAGCTGGACAGAAAAGAAAAGAGGACGGGGAATACATGCATTAAATTGCCAGGGGTCAGTATTGGGACAGAGGACATGTCTCTGCATGTGATGCGTCTGCTCTGCAACTACTGAGCCACGTGGTTCCCCTTAATCAGTACTGAAGTCTTTCTTAGAGTCTCTGGACTTTGACTGGACCATTTTAACGCGTGGAGATGCTTTTATTGGATTTATTTTATTGTTATTCTGGTGAACTTTTGCTCAAGTCTTAAATTTAGCTTCTACAATTTATTTTCTTTTTTTTTTCTGAATTGCATATAATGTCCCATTAATTCTGGTTTGCCTCTTTATCCCTTCTTTACAAAAGCATCCCTGCACCATGATGCTGCTGCCACAACATCTCACCATTAGGGTGAGATGTTAAAGTGTTACTTTTTGCCTCCCACGGTGTAGCATGTGGGCTAAAAAATTACATTTTGGTCTTCTGTTATCAAAGCACCTTCTTCCTTATGTTTGCCTCTTGCATGACCTATGGCAAACTGCAAACAATGTGTCATACAGTTTCATACTGAATATATATATAATATATATATATATTTTTTGCATAAATTTAATTCGATTAGCAATTTTATTAAGTTAATCCGAAGTTCATTGGCGAAATATGCAACTTCTAAAGGTTGAATTGGAATAGATTTTATTTCTGGGCACATGAGTGAAATAGAAATGAAATAGTTTTAACTTTTTGGATGCAACTTGACAAAAGCTGAAAAATATTCAATGGGAATAAATACTGTTTGGAAGACACTGTAGAAATGGTGTCATTGAGGTAATTCTGTTGCATTTTTCTGATGCTCTTCAGCCAACAGACCAGGATTAGCATTCGAGCAGCTGCTTCCTGGAGACATCTCTTCTCATGTGATTGACGGCCTGGAAGAAGATAAAAAGTATACCGTTAATATCTATGCGGTTTACCCCGAGGGACCCAGTGAACCAGTGTCATTAGTGGGAAAAACATGTAGGTGTCTCACATTGAAATAAAATGTTTATTCAAGCAGAAAAAAAAAACCCTCCAGTATTATAATGTTTTGGGGACTAGATCAATTTTTTCGAAGAAAGTAAACACCAATATGTAGTACCTCAACATTTCCACAGAAGGGGGGTATTGTTCTAAAAACAATCTGTCAGTAGGAATGTAGCCAGCATAAGATCTCAGCGTCTGTATACAAAAGTGGATTAAACGATTTTGAATATATATAGATTTTTTTGCATAAATTTCATTTGATTAGCAATTTTATTAAATGATCCTACAAGTCTTTTTTAAATAATATATGTATATCTTTGAAATGATGTTAACAGTAAAATTAGTGGCTGTCAAGCAGTTCCTGGTCCAGAATGCCACTACAGATACCGTCCAAGCAAGGTGGGAGTCAGTCAAGGGGGCAACAGGATACCGTCTGACATGGGCATCCCCAGGTACTGCGCCGTCTCTGTGTGCTGTGTCGCTCCTAATAATGTGTTCTTCATTCTGGAACGCTCTTCTTCTCCTGTTGTCCTGCAGATGGTCACATAGAGAACGTCAACCTCGGGGAGAACTTCAACTTCTACATGATCCAAGGCCTGCACTCAGGCTCTGAGTACATCGTCACAATCAATCCCATCTTTGGAGACACCGAGGGACCCGTCACCACCAACAAAGTCAAAACATGTAAAATACCTGTTAAATGTCACTAAATTCAGGTTTAAATGACACTGCAATCACTAGTTTGCATTTTTGTACAGTGTATATAAATATCTCAGCTGTATGTGGCTGACAAGTATATTCTATATTTAGTCGTTCTTGTATTTTTTCGTGTTTTTTGTTTCCTTTTGTCAGTGGAAAGCAGTGCAGTTCAAACTCTGAAGGCGTCCGCTGTAAGCACTAGTTCAGCTGTTGTGTCTTGGAACAGTGTCCCAGGGGCCACAGGATACAGGCTGGCATGGGGACCCACCCCAGGTACTACCAATGTTTTGAGTATTCTTTACTAGAATAACCACAAGGTTAAATTATATAATTGTTTCTATATTGATACAATGCCAACGTTAAAAAAACAATACACACATCTAAAATGGCCAGAACTGCCATCCAGAAGGTTGTTGGGATTTTTTTTTTTACATTTTTTGGGGGGGAAAAAGGAAATTATTGCAGAGGAGTCTTGTATAATACTAAGTGGGAGGGAAAGAAGCCACTTGGGGATATTGCATTGAAGAAAATACTAAAATATTTATTTTATTTTTAGAATTTGCTGGTCGAGATCGTCCAAGGCAATTGGCTTTGAATAGCAGCACTACAGAATACAAGCTGAAGAACGTGGCTCACGACACAGAATACGTCCTGACTCTATATGTGCTTTTTGGGTCCGCCGTCGGGCCTGGCATCTCTGCGACGTTTAGAACTTGTGAGTACTTCTGCTGCATTTCTCTGGTCCCCATGTTGCAAAAAACTGATCTAAAGACAAGCAGGCTTGGCATGTTGCACTTCATAAGTTACTGCTATGGATGCTGTCAGAATTTTCTCACAGTATGCAAAATGTGGTGGTGAAAGTGTTTCATAATAAATAGTTTTGGAACACTGCTGGACTGGCATGGCCACGATTGATTGATTGAGTGTGACTTTTGGCATAAGACCTGTTCAGATTCTTGGATGACCAATCCATGCCAAATGGATGAGCTACTACTGCTGCTAAAAGGCTCCTTCATGCAGCACTGTGTGGAACCAGATTTGTTGGCACCTCAGTAATCTCAACAAGCCTCTGTGATCTCATCTTGGATGTTTTTCATGCTCAGAGCAGTCAGGATATTCATGCTCCATCACGTCTTTATTGGGAACGCACCGTGATCTTAAAGCACCAAAGAGAACGCCTCTCAAGACCTCGTTGATCTCATTCAAATGATTTTTAATAGTTTGGTCTTTCTCCAGTGAAACAAGGAGGGATTATGAATAAACATGGCAAGACTGCCTATAAATTCTACATTATATTATACTAATTAATTCCTTACAAATATCTCTATGCATATTTTGGTAGTCATGTCCACACATGGCAATCCTAAAGCAGATCTGCTTTTTTTTTCTCATTAGTCGATGAATAGAACAAACTTGATCTTTCACAAAAAAAGAAAGCAGATGAAACAGAAGATAAAGTCAGTGTGATCATTTTCATAATCCATGAATGTGTTTGGATTATTTTGGGTTGGCATTTTTTGTTCATTATGATGCTTCATTCACAATTCGTGTTCAGATTCAAGTGGGTGGTATTGTTTAGTTTGTTTATTGAGATCTTGTTTTTGAATAATAAGTTGAATAAATCTGTACTAGTCACAGGTCTTGGATGTTTTTCCATCACAGCTGCAGTTCGTTCAGTTAATTGGACTCACCTGCTTCTCACGGCATTGATTACATTCTTCATACAGTTTCCTTCACTGTTGCGTTCCCATGATTCCTGGTTCTTTCTGGGGTGCGGGGGGGATCTGTTAGGCTACGATGAATTGCTATGATATTTGTCGAAACTGCTGGACAAATCTCAGTGAAATAAATAAAATATGATAAATTCATAAATACCAGTAAATTAGTTTTTTTTAAAAAAGCTTTTTGTTCTCAATGTGTTAATGGTTACTCTTTTACTTTCTCAGCTCCTTTAGGTTATGTATCCAACTTTAAGGTGACATCTTACACTAGTACCTCCATAGCTGTGGAGTGGAGTCCTATTGTTGGAGCCACAGAATACAAACTTTCTTGGTACACAGGTGACTCATTTAACCTTAAATTTATATTTTTTGTGCTACTCTGCCTGATTATTTAGTCTTTATTTCCCTTATACTATTATCTCTGTTTACAGATGAGGGCAAGCCACAGTTCCAGTATCTAGACCGAAGTGTCTTGTCCCACCAGATCAAGGATCTTATCCCTCAGTCCACTTACACAATAACTATCCGTGCAGTGTACGGCAACTCGGAGGGACCAGATATTTCCTTGTCTCAACTAACATGTATGAAAGAAAAGCAGATTTTTGATTCAATGAACTTTCTTCTGACCTGTGAAGTTGTGCACAACTTCTATGTGTGAAGTTGTGCACTCACACAAGTTCTGTCATCTCCACTCTAAATCCTTATATTTTTAAAAACATTTTCACACTAACTTTTATATTAATGAACAAGAAAGTAGCTTCAAATTATTATTTTAGTAAAGACCAAAAGCTATTTAAACTAATCTGGCCCCATGTAAAAAACGTATTTCTCTCTTGTGACTACAACAGATCATGTGTAAGATGCCAGGTTGAGTGCGATTTGATGAAATGAGTTCAAACTTGGATGTAAACACGTCTGTTTTCAGCTGCAGTCTCAGGGTCAGAGCCAATCCAGCCAGTGAGGGAGCTGAAAGTTGTGGACATTGGGGTAAATTCCTTCACCTTGTCTTGGAAGAAAACACCAGGAGTTTCAGGATACAAAATCTACTGGATTCCCTTTCTTGGTGAGAACTTGCTTAAAAGAAAAGTCAATTTGTCTACTAATTAGTAGATTATGCATAATCACCTAACTAAAGGTTGTCATAGCATAAAATTAATGTACATTTTGTAATTGAGTCATTTTGTGCATCTGTTTTGGTTAGAAAAAGAAAAAACTGTTAAATGTTAACATTCTAGTCTCGTGTGCCTCATCATGTTATAGTTTCAACCGTGTAAGTGTTCAGGGCAGTGTTGTTCCGCACTTCCATATCCTGCATGCTTGATTCTAATTATTTTTTGCTCTAGGGGGTAAGGAGAAATCCCAAGTGGTACCTGCTGCTTCCACAACCTTCACCATGGACAACCTTCAGGAGAGCTCGGCTTATAAGATCCAGGTTTCCCCCATGGTTGGTGGAAGGGAGGGAAGTCCTGTCCTCGTCACTGCACGAACATGTGAGTTTTCAATTCCCATTACACTGAGCAGAAATCTGTTGCCTAATGTGTCCGCACATCTTTGCAATGCATTGTGCAGATTTTAAATTAGGAGGAAATTGTGTCAGAAGGCAAAAACTTTGAAGAGGCAACAGACGGACTTTAATTATTTTATTATTTCACTTGTGCATCTGTTTTTGTAATTTTGTGATCTAGTGGATCTTCCAAAAGTGGAGGGCTTCGCTGCCCTGAACACAACTGAGAGCAGTGCAGTTCTGAACTGGACTCGTGTAGCAGGAGTCTCTGGGTATCTTCTCTCTTGGAGGCATATTTCAGGTCAGTGTGTCGATGACAAATGTTTGTTTTTGGATCACTTAATGTCTGCACATTTCAGTAAAACCCAAGAAGTTAAATTACCTCTGCAAAGTACAGATTTGAGAACTGAACCAATTGTGGTTTTAAAGTCATTATATGCCTTAAAAATTTCTATAAAAGAGGGTGTACTGCATTTTATTATAAGGATAACAAAAATGTGGTTACATTTTCTTGACAAATGATTATAATTCCTTGTAAAAATGATCTCAGTCAGAAATCACTGAAATTATTTGATTGGCAGAACACCATCACTTAATTTCTTGATGAATGAATGTCACTAATTTGTTCTTCCTGTTTTTAGTGTTGGAGACAAAAACAGAAACCCTGGGTCCTGCCTTCTCCTCCTATAAGATCAGTAACCTGCAGTATGGTAGAACATACATTTTCTCCATCAGACCATTGTATGGTGAAGTGGAGGGACCGATAAGCACCATATATCAGAGAATATGTAAGAATTGACACAAATAATTTCAAACAAGCAATCTGTGAAGCTCAATTTTAGATTTCAGTATAAATTTTATGTGCAATTGAAATATAAACCTTGGTTTTGTGTGTTTTCACTCCCATCATTATGTGCAGTTTATTTAGAAACACACAAAAACATTATTGTTGAGTCGACAGATTAAGGAATAAAATTGTAACATCATTATATTAAAATAGAACATACAAAATATAATTTTGACTTAACACTGCAGAATTTTATATCTTAAAAAATAGAGACCATACTGTTTAACATAACATTATTTCGTTAGAAATAACAAGGTTCTTCATGATTGTTTAAATGCAATCAAAAGGCTTGTTTTTTATGAATAAACAATATATATATCTACTAGACTATGTAATTTGTAAGTTTAATATTAAAAAATCTTAACTTGAACGGTTTATTTTTGATTTTACCAAAGTGTTTTGCAGGTGCGTCTTTAGTTTGGCGTACCTTATAACTAAAAATGATGGTTTTATGAATTTCAGTAGGGCAGGATGATACTGTGAAACCGGTCCAATTTGTTCGTGCAAGTGTGACCCTGAACTCCCCTCGTGTCACAGCTGGCCCCCACACTGTTTTTGTCGTCAACCCAACCATTGCTCAACCAGCCACCAAGGGCACTGAGCCCCCCACAGCTGCACCACCAGCTAACTCCATAACTACTAAAACGCCTCCAGTCCAGCCCAGTGTCACTAAGGCCGAGGAGGCTGCAGTCACTTCCCTGAAAGTATCCACAAAGTCAACAGCTCCATCACAGCCAGGTATTTCAGAAATGCTGCTCACGGTCTGTTTAATATGAGAATATCAAACATCCATGCGTTGGGCATGTCTTCTCTGTTTCATCAGTATGTGGGAAGACCAAAGCAGACATAGTCTTCTTGGTGGACGAGTCGTCAAGCATCGGCGTTAACAACTTTGCCAAGATGAAAGACTTCATTTTCCGAGTGACCACTTACTTCCCAGTTATCAGCGCACATGGCACACAGGTCTGTCACTCAGTGAAATTGGTCTTGTTCTCTCTTTTGTTGGCTTGATGAGGTGCTGAAAATTAGCCCCAGATGTGAACTGTCATCACTTTGGCTGCAAGTATTTTTGAACAAATTCAAAGCTGGTTTTTAATGCTGCAGATGCTGTTTTTATCTTACTGATAACTTCTTGTTCTGGGTAGGATTAAATAACATGATGTGGAGTTTTTTTTGATAATTGGACAGAAAAATTGGCGAAGTAAAGGTGCTCAGCTACTTGGCTTTGTTCTTAAGACAATTAAGAATATTAGCAGAAGGAAGAAAGCACAACCAAAATGGAGCAACCACTAAACATCTCTCGTGATTATCCATTCAGCACTCTTACATTAGATCAAAAAGCCAATATGCTGATTATGAGCACTTTTCTCCTTTGTCATCTTGTAGGTTGCCGTGGTTCATTACAGCGATGAGCCTCGTATTGAGTTTCATCTAAGTGACTTCAAAGACAGAAACTCTGTGCTCAGGGCTATCAGAGGGCTGCGCTACAAAGGTGGCAACACCAAAACAGGTTAGCTGAACCGACTCAAAGGTGAACCGTGCTTTTCTCTGTCTTCCACATCATCAAAAGTGATTTGTCTATTGATGTCCCAATAGAAACTAGAGATAATTAGAAGCTGTCTGAATACTACATTAGGATATTTGTGTCTTCAGGAAAAGGCATCGGCTACGTTCTGCAGGAACTGTTCAAGGAGTCTTTGGGGATGAGACAAGATGTGGCCCATGTTCTGGTTCTGATCACAGACGGCAGGGCCCAGGATGATGTGACGCCACCTTCCAGATTGCACGTGCTTTAGGTGAGCCTGAAAAACCTAACAATATAGGGTCTTTTAAATGTGTTCTTGCATATTTCACACATTTTGTCTGTTCTGAGAGCTTAGATATTGGCAACCTTTTGTATCCAAAGAACCATTCTCATGAAAAAACCTGTGAACCTTTTGAAAAAATTTGCCTTTCCAAGTTTTATAATGCCCAACTTTTTTAAATTTAGTCTCTAGTTAAATTTAATTTGTATTTTCAGCTCTCAGGAAAAAAAAAAAAAAAAAACAACTAAAAAACAAAACGTTCTACTCTTGCTGACATTCTTTTATGGAGTTTCTACTCATTAAAATGGAACAAAATAGTTCTTGATTTATATGTTTATGAAACTAAAACTAGGTACTGCATTGATGTTTTTGCAGCAATATCTCTTTTTAATGCAGTACAAGGTAGGGAGTCTTGTTCCTGATTTAGTGTTTGTCTATTGATTGACTGTAAGTCAATCATGAAATACACTGCTGTACTCTTCCCATTAGGTATTGATTTGTATTTCATTTCCTTTTTGGTATGTTTTGTTGTCTTTTATTTTTTAATCTTTGATATTTTGTCTTTTAGTTCTTATACTTGCTGTAACATCAATTGCGCATTTAGGATATGAATAAATCTGAATCTGTGAAATGGAATGATGTCAAAATTAGGTGCAGATTTGTGTTAATGTCCCTGATGTCGATGTAGACCAAACACAGGCCGTCTTCTTCCACACATTTGCTGCACACAATACATGATATCTGGTAAAATGTAGATATAACCTTTAATTGTTTATTTTGTCTGTGGATTCCTTATTCCAACTTAGCTGTAAAGGTCCGATTTGTGGAATGCACAACTAATAGTTGATAGATAAAAGCTTTGATTTAAGCTGATGAAGGTGAAAGTCTATGATTTGGAAAATATGTTGGCATATTAATACACTTAAAATTATAGAAGTGAAAAAACTTAACTCTCTTGAAATAGAGAAATTATATCTCAATTTCCTCTAAACACTTTGGTGAATGCTAAATTATTGCAGGCACATTGCTGTATACGACATTGAATATTTCAATCCATTTCTCTGTAGGGGTTAGCATATTAGCAGTTGGAGTTTCCAATGCCGACATCGAGGAGCTGAGTAAAATTGCAGCTCCCAGCAGCTATAAAAATATCTTCTACTCGCCAACCTTTGATGACTTCCCCTCCATAGAGAGAGAATTTATCCAAAGCATCTGCAGTGAGGAGCTTCTCTCTGAATTCAAACTACAGGATGAGGTAAGAAAAGGAAAGACTGCCTCAATAGTTTTCTTCTTACTTTTCATAGTACAATGAGTGGAATGAGTTCATATTTCCTGCACACACAAATGAAAAACAATGCCAATCGAAGCGTTGCAGTTATCTTGTGGTTATGGTGCGGTTTTATTGTAAGAAGTCTTTCAGAGCGCACAGGAATGTGCAATTTCGATTCGTGTAGAGAAGGGAGTTATTCATGTGGAATAGGAGACATTCAGTCCATCTTCAAACTCACAAACAATGGCTCTGCAGGAGCAAATACGTCACTGTTCTTGACTTCATTTTGACGTCAGAGAAGTGGATAGAGGACATGAATGCAGAGAGAGATCCAATGTCAAAGGCAAGCCTTCTATGCCACGAGGCTCCATTGGAGAGTTAACTTTGTGTTCTTCTCCTGTCATTTCTTGCTCAGTTTGCTCAGTTGGACACTCCGACTGAAGACCCAGAGGAGCTGAATAAGCCTTTAGGTCCCTGCGCCTCACAGTGTGTCAAGGTGTGTAGCCCTCAACAAATTGAACAAGTAAATCTTCTCCTATCGTGTTTTGGTTTGCTGCTCATAATCATCTGAAATGCATACTTCAACAGGGCCAGAAAGGGGAAAAGGTGTGTTAACTGTCTCACAGTAGCATTTTAAATTATTTAAATTGATGTTCTAGCTCTCTTTTTTCCTTCATTTTAGGGAAACGGTTTTGGTGGTTTGGTATGTTTACGCTTTATATTTGATCATTTTTTTTCTCATAGTTTAATTCATTCAGCATTTTTCAGACTTTTTTTCATCATGAAAAATATTTATAAAATATCATTTTGTAGCAATTTAGGCAAAGCCCTGGACAGTTTGATCCTTTCATATCATCCAAAGGAGAAAGAGGAGAGAAGGTAAGAATCAACATGCAAACTCCAACATGCATTTTAATATCTCTGCCCCACTGTGCCAGCAGAGTAATGTAAAATTCCACACCACTGATCCCAATATACATACAGTCTTCAAGTCTGGAGCACATCAACAGTGATGCACATATTTAAAAGTTGTGATGAGACAAAATCCATCTCATATGACATTGAGGACTAATTGTTTTCCTATGTGGGACACCTTGGAGCACCTGTGCCACGCTCCACTTGCATCCAGTGTATCATGCTAACTTCTTCAGCGGTTTTCACAACTGCTTTGGGCATTTGTATCTTGACAACAGATGTGCTGAATTTGCTTGTACCGGACATGCATGCCATCAAATTCTTTCCAAAAATGTGACCTTATCATGAAAATTGGGGTTCATGTCCAAGCAGAGCAAACAGAAAGTCCCCAGATGCATTTTAGCCCAGTCTTTGTAAAACTACTCAATTCTAAACACTGCCCTCTGGTGACCAAAATGTGCAACAACAGAAATCAACGGAATGACCATATTTAAGTGTACAAAACCATAATTTGTGCAACAACCTTCAAAACGAATGAACTTATCAGCTTTTCTGCCTGCTTGATAACAAAAATGTGAAGTATTCACATCATATTAAGAAAAGTATTTCAATGTGTTATTTCTTAACAATGCTGAGGAAGTTCTGCATTTGTGTAAAGATTCAAGCTCTCGATCTATAGGGATCTCCAGGAACGGATGGTATCCCTGGGTTGCCAGGACGACCAGGACGAACGGGACCTCCAGGTTCTGCTGGTCAGCGGGTAACTAAATTCAGAAACAAATAAATCCCATTGTTTTCAGTCGGAATCTGAAAAAAATCATATTTTGTTTTTACTTCTTCTTTTTCAGGGCCTTCCAGGTGTCCCGGGGGAAATGGTGAGATCAAGACAAGTTTTGAAATAACTTTGTGAACTTGAATTAGTTTGATCAAATATTAATATTATTTTTCTCTAAATGCAACAAAAATCATATCTTGCACCTGATGATTCTCTTTTCTGTAATGTACCAAGAGGGCCTACCAAAATGCTGTTGTGGATATGGACAATACATAAAACATAAAATAATGCCACACAAGGCACACACACAAAACTAATGTTGCGACGAACAATGAGAAGACGTTTCCATCCCTGAATGCGTAACGTTTCTAGAAATATACTTTACAGCTGTGACTGTAGCAACAGGTGCTTCTGCAAAAGGGACTGAACGTAAACGTACCCACACTTTTCAGATTTTTGTTTGGAACACAAATTGTGCACTATTGGTCTGCCACAGAAAATCGGATGAAAATATCTAGAGGTTTGTGCTTGTAACATAACTGTGACTAATTTAAAGAGATATGAAAACCACAAATTATTAAACTTGGTGGGGAAAAAACATTTTTAAATCTCAAATCTGTCAAATTAAATTTGCATTTTATCTCTTCATGCTGTCTCATCTCTGTCCCTTGGCAGGGACCTCCAGGTGTCTCCGGTTCAAAGGGACAAAGGGGAGAGAGAGTAAGTCTGATGTTCTCCAGAAGGAGTTCACCACAATTATTCCTATGTTCTGAATTAATATCTGCAGCAACTTGTCCAACAATCCGAACATTGTGCAAAAATTCACCTTTTACTTTTGTTGCATTAAAGGGAGAGCCTGGCTATGTTATAGCTGGTACAGATTCAAATTTTGTGCCTGGGAGAAAAGGAGAACCTGGATCTTCAGTAAGTTTTTTAAGAAGGTGTTTGGCGATGAGTGATGCTGAACAATTCAGACCTAATTTCCTGGAGTTGCTCAGGGCCCGCAGGGACCACCTGGGGTACCGGGAGCGAATGGATCACCTGGCCTCCCCGGCCAGGCAGGCCCGCCAGGATCACCAGGAATATCTGTGAAGGTAGATATTCACTATTTCTCTTTGTTTTATTCTTGCCCGCTGATGTGTTACGTAACAAACTGAATAATTTGGGAGAAATGGAGATGTTTTTGGTACATTTTATTTTTGTGCTTTGTAGGGAGATCCTGGAGCTATGGGTGCCAAAGTAAGTATGAAACCTCTCTTGTATTTCTTTGTGTTAAACGACTTGTTGGTTCTTTGGCTTTCATGTTACTTCAACACAATTCTTGCACTTATGCCTATTTTTATAACCGCAGATTCACTTTCTTTGTTACATAATACGCTGGGTTTCTTCATTAATTTTTGAAAGGGTTTACGAGGGAAGCAAGGCTTGAAAGGAGACAAAGGAGAGCCAGGAAAGGATGTAAGTTCATAATTGTTACATTTATAAATAGTGGGAAAAGACATTGTCCAGGAAAGAAGGGCTAATATTTAAACTTAGTGGGGAAAAAAATATTGAAATAATCCTTTTTTTAACTGTTTCACTGTTACATTATGCAAATGCCTGCAGGGAATTGCAGGTCTTCCTGGTCCCATCGGCATTGATGGCATACCAGGATTGCCAGGTCACAAAGGAGAAAAGGTAAAGCACCCTTTATACCTGTGAGTAAATACATCTTGGACGTATAGATTTAATTTGCTATGGATGCATCTTCTGCAGGGTGAAGATGGACTCGGTATACAAGGAATCCAAGGCCCTCAAGGAGAGAAAGGAGAGAAGGTACACAAGTAGAGCATCAGTGTTGCTGTGTTCAATTTAGCAATTTCAAAAGTAATGAGAAAAGAAACGATGGTTGTCATTGTGCTATGATCACAGACACAAAAGAATGAAGGCTGTTAATACTTAAAAATAGGTGGCTTGGTCAGATGAGATGGACAAACCTTTAGTCAAACACTTCATGTGGCCTGATAGAAAACAGAAAAAATGGTGCAAAGATCCCATTCTGTGTGCTGCAACCTTGAACAATGATGAAAGGCTAGCTGCCTGTTCACTGTCCTGCCAGGAGACGCGTCTAATGGCGCCAAATGTACTTTGGACAATAACAACTTTTCTGAATGTTTTTGTTTATTTTACAGGGAAATATTGGCTTAACAGGAGCAGAGGGACTAAAGGTACAAAACACTGATCTACAGCATGAAAAATGTCATATTTCTAATAAAAACTAGATTCATGTATAGATTTTGCCCTTCTAGGGTGACCGTGGAGACCAGGGCATCCAGGGACTTGGTGGCCCCCGGGTTCGTAGCTCATTTCTATGTTCAGCTGATTTCATGCAACAACCTTTGCTTGTCTTTACCCTGCAGAAAATACGAATTGGTTGTGCTAGCTTGGAATGAGTTATAATCAACGTTTTTTAACTGAGACTCTGTGATGAAAAGATTCAGTTGGTGTGACTCATTTTTACTCTCAGGGGAAAAAGGGCGTCAAAGGAGACAAAGGGGACAAGGTGAGTTTGTCTCTTTCAGTAAATGTATTCTCCCCTCCTTAGATTGAAAACTCTTTTTGTTGTGCTAAAATTTTATCATTTTTATTTCAGCAGTGCATAAGACTGATAATGGTGGGTGTGCATGTCGATGTAAAATGTGTAAACTCCTTTTTTTTTATTAATATTCTATTAGGGAGAGCAAGGAGAAAAAGGACCTGATGGACCACAAGGACCTCAAGTTAGTGAAGTTTATTATTCTTAGAAATATAGATGTCACACAAGAACACCTACTGCTTTCATTGACTGTCTTTGAAAAAAATATAAAGGCATACAGTAAAGTTTTTATTTTCCTTTTTTTACTGGAAAATAAGAACTAGAATTGCTTCTGATCTTGTACATCATTTTAGCAGAAATACTCAAATTTTGAAATGAACAAGTAAGGAAGTTGCTTTCAAGATTTGAAGAATTTTGAGTAAAATTTGGATTCTCAATGGATAAATTAAACCCTTAGTTATGTTTTTTCCAGTTCTTTTGTTCTTGATTTGAAGCTTTGTACAATTTTATGAGAAAAACTGTTGCCTTCGGGACCAACAGCAGCTACACCACTGAATTGTCATAAAGACAGTAAACCAAGTTTTTTTTTTTTAAATCCAGTATATTAACAAGTTGATTCAACTGATCCAGGGATTAATTGGGCCAGTTGGATTGAAAGGAGATGAAGGACAAAGAGGAGCCCCAGGAGATCCTGCAATGGGTGTAAGAAAACAAAGTCATGCATTTAAATAACACAAATTACAGCATTTGTCACTGAGTTTCCTTCCTTTTGTCACCCAACCTGGCAGATAATTGGTCCACCTGGAAAAAAAGGTGCCAGGGTGAGTCAGTTTCTATCATCATCATCTTTATTGATTCTACTTTGTTTAGGTGAAAATAGCACAATATATTTGCAAGTAGTATAATTTAACATAAACCCCAATTCACCACTAAGAAAATCTTGGTAATGCTGCTCTTAGTGCATCACTTGACAAGTGCAGTTCGAATAAATGTTGCACAAAATTCCAAAATCTGTGTCCTTTTCACAGAACATTTGGACATGTTTGCAGCAAGTTAACAGAACATGAAGTTGTGGCATCTTTTGTCTACACTTTAACTTTTTTTTAATTTAGCCATTTAGATAGCAAATCTCTTTTTAACTACACATCCACCATTTCCCTTCCTGTTGCTCCTCCTATTTCCAATCCTTATGCTAAATGTGACGTTGGGCTTCTTTACGACAAGCAATATATTTTGCAGCTGAACCCTGAGAAGATCACAACTTCATTAGGTCACTCAAAGCCTGGTCAATGTGCAATTTGGAGGTGTGTGTGTCTTTCCCCCTTTGAGTCGATTGCACATCAGTCTCTACAAACCGACTTTTTGAAAATAACAACCTTTAAGCAGATATCAAACGTTTTATTAAACATGTATTTTTTTTTTTTAATTAATTTTTTATTGGCCTAAAATATTCTAATCTCAAATACTAAGTTTTCATTTAACCCAAATGGCATCAACTGCAGCAACAGAATGGATGCTTGAATGCTTGTGAGTGGAGTTACTGAGATAAATTGGCTTTACTTTAATCTTCATCATGTCTGTAGAATGAAAAGATGGGGACGCATTTTTGTAGTTGAAAAGTTTAGTTGTAAATTTGAAGCCGTCAATACTATTAATTGATTGGAAGACCACAACCTCACGTGTTTTTAAGTTGGCCAGATTTACTTGTCTCAACTGGTTGAAGGTTCGTCTCTCAGCTGTGAGGGAGCGATGCTTTGATGTTTTGCTCCATGAAAACATTGCTAATTAATTGTTCAGGATATTCTTGCACACTCACTCAGCCCTCTGGCTTTGCTTATCAAACACAATTAAGATTTCTCTCATTAAGTTTTGCTGTCGGTTTCTGAATGCTTCGTTAAAGGGGACCTTTTTAATCTCAGTCCACAGGGTATCATTTGGAGTGGGAGGGGGGAAAAAACTCTTTGCCACGCTCATGACTGTGTGTCCACGTTGTGTACGTGAACATTTTCCTCCTACAGGGAGATCTCGGCCCAATTGGTCAAACAGGCCCTCAGGGAATAAAAGGAGATCAAGGAGAGAAAGGGGAGAAGGTGAAAAGAAAAAGAAATATTATTTTAGTCTTCATATGTTCTAGTAGAAGCAGAGGAAATTTAAATGTAGTTGTTTTGTTCTGGTTTATGCAGGGAAGTCCTGGTTTTGGGATTCCAGGTCTGCCAGGACAGAAGGGGATAAATGGTGAGAGGGTGAGTTGAAACAGCTTTCATCTTGTGAAGCAAAGTCATAAATTTTTTTTTTTTTAAATATTTTAAATGTTTTTGCTATTTTTAGGGAAATGTTGGTCTATCAGGAAAACCAGGACCAAAGGTCAGTAAAATTTTGTCGATGTGAAAGTATTTGGTAAAGTTGTCTGTAAGTACAAGTTTGAACTCATGTTGATTTGAAACATTATCTACTTACATGCTTTACTTTGTGTTTGAAAATAATACATTTCACACATCAGACTTCTTGTGTATTAAATTAAATCTCCCTCAGTAAAAAATAATTTTAAAAAAATACTGAAAAACATTTGTTCTCCACACATAAATCTATTTTCAAACACCATTTACGATTTGAAATGGCCACTACAACAGAACCCACGATGACTCAATAAATACTGATGGAAACAAAAGGTTATTGTTTATTGTTTTTTTTTTTTTTTAGGGCAAAGATGGTGCAAAAGGGGAGAAAGGAAGTGTTGGCTTGCCTGGAAATTCTGGAGAACCAGGATTAAGAGGTAAAGATGTAAGTAAGTCCTGTGTGGCTGTTAAGCAGCAATTAAAATGAGTTGTTGGTATAATGCTGTTCATTTCATTGCATTTGATTATTTGTAAAACAGTGGATTAAAATTCCAACCAAACACAACAGACTGCTAGCAAAACTCAAACTCAAACTCAAAGGTCAAAGTACAAAGCTATTTACACCCATTACATTTTTGTGTTGTAAAGTTTTAATGGATTTATGCTCCACTTTGTTCTGACGCCAGATAAAATCCCAAAACGTGAATACTTTTGCCACGTAGTGCATTTCAAGTTATTTAAGCGTTAAAACAGGAGCAAATGTCTAACGACATCAACAGAAAGTTTTCACTGAAGTGAAGGGCAGAAAATGTTAGCTTTAGCTTTTTCTTGATTTCACGTCCAGCCTGTACAAACAGCCATGTGAATGCATGAATATTCATTCTCACTTGTCCGTACAGGGAGCATCTGGACCGAAGGGAGAGCCAGGAACGAAGGTACGATCAGTCTATGTGGTTTCTTTTGAGCTTTTAGCATCTTACTATGCTTCTTATTACATAGACATTTCCATAGGAAGTCGGTATCAATTAGGACATGAAATATTGCTGTAAAACATCTATTTTTTGTGAACCTTGCAGGGTGACCCAGGGTTAACTGGAGAGCCCGGTGAAAGAGGAATAAGGGTATTGTTTTTTTGCTTCCTTAAATTTGAGATAAGTGGCAAAGAACACAGATTTGAATGAAAATTCAAAAGTGTTTGATTGCATTTAATCAATCATATTTGATTAAATATGATCAAAAACGATGGCAGTTAAAGAACAGATTTTTATCCGATTTGTGATTCAGTTGAATAATTAACATGTTTGGATCAAGCATGCAGCTTGCATAGATTTGGTAAAGATGTCAAACTGAAAATAATGCACAAATCAACTTTTTCCATTTTAATCCTGTTTGCCTGCCTCAGTTTTTTCTTTGCGTTGCAACTTTAATTATACTATATCAGTGTTTGCTCTGGTTTAAGACTATTTCCTAATCAAAAGCTTAATTCTGTTGATTTGTTGTTAATCAGGGCCCATTGGGGTTACCAGGGCGACCAGGTGACCCTGGAGAAAAAGGTGAACCAGGTCTTCCTGTAAGTTGCATTACATGATGGTCACTCCATTTTACTGCACTCCCAGCAGATTTTTAGTAACAATGTCAGGCTTTTATTCACCCACCCTTTATTTATTCTATTAAAGGGTACTGATGGAAAAAAGGGAGATAAAGGAGAGATGGTATGTTTGTGTGTGCACCCATCCTCTCAGTGATGTTGCTGCTTATTGTTTCTGCTTTCTGATCATTCTTCTGTGTCAGTCACCCTTTAAATGCTGCACCACCTTTTATCCTCTTGTAAAGACGTGATTCCTGATTTGATACGACGCTAATTAACTTGGCTTTTTGTGTGTGTCACCCTTGGAAGCACAGTCTAATTTTCCCTTGTGCCGCAAACACTTGGCGTTTTGTGTGACGTCTCAGATCCTAACTGTTGCTTTGTTCTTGTTCTTTTAACGCAACTTGGATTGAAACAAAGGGGAAACCTGGACCCCCGGGTACACAAGTAGGCAAATCTAAATCACTTTTTTTACACTTTTCGGTCCTTAAAACATATCAACGTTTTGACAATATTTGCTTTTCATTGTTTTTCTTGGGAATAAATGAGATTTGTTGTCCTGATTATCACCAGGTTGTTGCAGAAAACAACATACTGACCAGAGTTATTAAGGTAACTAGAACAGGAAGCATCCTCAGTCAGAATTTAACTTTTTTTTTTTCCCCATTAGATGATAACCCTTAGTTTTTCTCTGCTGGGTTTTTATTGTTTTCAACAGGGTGACCCTGGAGAACCGGGCCAGGCTGGCCTGAGAGGAGAAACTGGTCTACCTGGGCCAAGAGTAAGGATTCATTCCCTAATGTGTCAAGTTAAATATATATATTAAACTAAGCTGTTTATATTTACAGATGTCATTAAGAGATGTAAAGTGAAACTCAAAATAGTTTCAATTTATGCAGACGGTATGCACCAGGATGTAGAATTGGGGATTATTCTGTAGAGTAATTAAATTCAATTAAGAAATTACTTAATTTATTTTCCCTTTGAGATTAATAATCAAAACTGGCTACTTCTGAACACATGCTGTGTTTGGTTACAGAAAACATCTTTTTAGGTTGATAATAAATATTGTATGACTTGATCATTAATCATTATTTAAACTGTAGCATAAGATAACGACAAATTCCAATTGGCTGAAAGGTCACATAAAAACATGAGAAATAGGTGGAGGCAGGGTTGTGCTTGAACTAGGACAATACATTGAATCTAATCAATATATCACTCATCCCCATTTGTATATTGCATTTCTATTTTGTTTTGTGTAAACAGTCTTGGAATAAGTTCACAGTTTTTAAGGGATTGAAAACGTATCAATTAATGAAAATTGCTTGAAATTACTTGGGAACAATGGACAACAGCAGTGCTAACAGAGGCAGTTACAAAAATATTTACTTGCAAAAATGTAATTTCGTCGTAATCCGTGAGTTTTGTTAAACATTCACATTTTTCTTCCAGGGACCAGAAGGGAAACCTGGATTACCGGGAAATTCGCAGGTGCCCCAAAATATAATCCCATGTTAACATTTTTCTGTTTGTGGAAAATATATGGGAATTTGTGGGATTTTGTGGGAATGTGTTCAAATATTAAACATTTTGTCTTTACAGGGCTCTGGAAGAGATGGACTTGACGGCCTTCCAGGAAAACCGGGAATAAAGGTTGAATTGTTGAAAAGTTCAGTCAAGAGTTCTCTGTAACTTCTCATCATTTCACTCACCAAAATAAAGAATGTTTTGTCTTTTGTGTAGGGAGATAAAGGGCATAAAGGTGAACCTGGTCCAGTAAGTACATAAAGAATACAATAAATAGTTCCTTTGAATAGCCCTCAAATTGGTGCAAAATTGTTTCTAGATACACAGAAAGATGTTTAGCAACTAACCACACATAGTGGAATTATAAATATAAAATATAAAAAGTTTTTGTGAGCTCTATGCATGTATGCATCTATAGACTCCAACACTTCAGGAGGTGGTAGCGCTGCAGGCTGAAGGTTTCACTCAGCACAATCAACACTAACCCTACTATACGCTATATGAACTCCAATCTTAATCTATTTTTAATGGCAAGCTTTTTTTATGTGATTTACATAATTTAATATCTAAATTGTGTAATTAGCCATCAATTTTCTGTTACTTATTCAGGTCCAGATTGTGATAATGAGATTAATTTTATCATTAGAAACTATTCTTATAAGATGCTGCAAAGGAGAGGAAAGATGTGGTCTAATGACACATAATTATTGTTCATAATATTCCCATTAAATTTCTATAATACTGTAATATTCTGGTGTATATCCATGAAATGGGAATTAAACTGCATTATGTTTGGTGTTGCTTTGTCTTTAAATTGTAGTAAATCAAACTTGGTGAACCCTACAGAAGTTGTGTTTAAGAAACCCTGAAGTTGAACCCTCAAGTTCAAACCAGATACTTGGAGAATTTGTATAAGATTTTTTTCTTGCTGACATTAAGTAAGAGTAAACTTTTCAGTTAGGATTATTTCAATTAATTTCTTTTTTGGTGAATGACGGAACGATAAAGATTTTTTTTGTTGTACTTTCTATAAATTGAGAAGTTTAGATTCAATGACCATGACAAAACCGAACCAAAACTAAAGCCAAAATCAAAAATACAAAGACCCATTGATTGATGACAGATGGGTCTACCAAATGGATAAATACCAATATTGCAACAAAACTAAAAGTGTTGGGGAAGCTGGGGAAGCTGTCACAAAGTCCTGATTCTGGTGCTGAGAAAATTTTTGTGCAGAATGGAAAAGGGTGTTCCATTCTGAATCCTGAAGCAATAATGCCATGAGATGCAAATAAACTCCTGGCTTGGGGAAAAAAGTGTATCTTTTTTAGTATCTCAGTCTGACATTTAGCAAACACAATAACTGTTGCAACTAACCTAGATTTGGAAACATTTAGTCAGATTTTGTTGCAGGTGCTTAGTGGGGAATAAATTGTAAAGTTTCCAGTTTTACAGAAAAATGGAAGCTTTACAATTTATCGGTTGGATAAAGATCTAACCGATTCTCTAATACGGTTTAGATTTTAGGTGTTTTTATTTTAGGTTGACAGGTGATGGACTGATAAGCGAGTCTAAGTCAAGTGCTCCCTTACCACTATGCCAGCACCACATCACTCAGAAACAATGTTTTTGATTGTTTTCTGTGCAGAGTTTTATTACCCTGAACACCACAATATTATTCATACTTTATCAGTCACTTTTGACGAGAGTTAAATAATATTCTGAAGCATTACTGCTACGCAGGTACAAGTTTCAGTGCATGCAGATGGGCAGGTAATAAAAAACCTAATTGTCAAATGATCTGGGAAGGAAGGAAGAGTTTCTGGAGCTCAGAGCATTCAAGTGTGTGTTAGGTTTATTTCGTCATATTCTCTATGATTAATCAAGTTTAAGACAAGTTGTGTGTGTGTCAATGAACAGAGAGGAGAGCAAGGGATTGCTGGAATGCCTGGATTACCAGGAACTCCAGTGAGTATCACTTTAAATCCCTCCAGATGAAGCTGTACAGTCAATTTAGGTTCACATACCTATTGCTTGTTTCTTCAGTTAACAGTTAGAGTAGTCTCAGGGCTTGACGGCCTTTTCTTAACAAAAACGTTTAATTCAATCCAAAATTTAGCATTCTGTTTTAACTTTTTTGGTTTTGTTTCAGGGGAGACCAGGGATTGATGGGAAGAGAGGCCTCCCTGGAAAGGATGTGAGAAATGCAAGCTACATTTATGACAGTCTTACTCCATATTTTATGTATTTTTTCCCATGAACTTCAAAAAGTTAAAACTGTTTTTATTCACAGGGAGAAAATGGGTTCAAAGGAGAGGACGGTGAAAAGGTATTTATGAAATACTTCAAAGTAACAATTTTGGTGCCATGTTTTATTGTTTTGGAAAAGTGTTCATTTTCCTCTAAATTTAAGGGCGACAAAGGGGATCCTGGTGTTAATGTGAGTCATTTAGAAGGTGATAAAAACACTGTTCTGTCACCTTTCAAACTGATTTTCCAACTAATTGTTTGTTTTTATTTTTTTAAGGGGAAAGATGGAAGTAAAGGGGAGCCAGGGCCTCCAGGTTCGCCAGGGAGGCAGGTGCTGGTCACGACTGAGGTAGAAACAAAGCCATGCTTTTATTGTGGTATCTTAACCCGGAAGCAGATGTCTGATTTGTGAGGCCTTTCAAATGTTTAACAGTGAGGGATTCAGGTAGAATCGTTGTTTTACTGTTTTATTCTTTTATTCTCTGTGTAGCAATTTCTTTCAAAGTTTACCATTTCTATTAGGTGTTTTTATGTATTGTAAATCTCATTTCTAATTATGGAAGTATTAAAAACAATATTGAAAATCAGGGACTTTATATGTATGGTTATGATGTCAAAACTATACTAAAAAATACTTTTTCTGCAACTTTTAAAGAGGTTATTGTTGTATGTGCCACAAATGGAGCAATTTATATACAATTAACTTTGAAAAACTAATTTGCAGAATCAGTTTTTGACACACACTGGCTCCCATAATACTATTAATACTCCCCCAGTTTTCATATATAGAACATGTAGGAAAATCAACTTATGAATATTAACTAATTTAAGTGGATCCATCTTTGTTCAGGGCGCCACAATTGATGACATTCGGCAGGCATTTCCAATCCCAATGGGTCCACCAGGAGCTACTGTGAGTTTACTATTTCTAGACACATGTTTCTGCATGCAGCATGGGGAGCTCATAAATAATTGCACGTCATTTCTGGTGCCGCTTGGCATAATTCATGCATTGCCTGGATAGAATCTAAATCGTGGATGAGCGATGGCTGCATTGTACTTTACTTTAGGTTGAAACTGACTGTGGAAAGAATAAAAACAACATTGCAAGCTTGATGTCATGCATATTAGATGCATGCTCAAAATGTCTTGCTCCTCTGTTTCTGTGTGTAGGGTGCACCAGGAATGAAGGTAAGATTGTATCACTGTTCACTGAGAATGGGTTAAGCAGAAATATGAACTTGATGCTTTATTTGTCATATTTTTCAGGGTGAAAAAGGAGAGCGAGGCCTGAAAGGGGAAAAGGTAGTTACTGATGATTTATGAGTGAAAGACATGGAAATGGAAACTGCCATATTGTGCGCTTTATAAACATCCATATCTGTACAGGGGGATGCTGGCACTGCTGGAAAGTCTCTGGAAATGAAGGTTGAACATGTGACATTTTAACAATGTGATTCCTCCTCTGGGATGCACTCTCTAGGTTTATACAGTTGAGTCACAGAAAATATTTTGCCTCCATTTTAGGACATTGAAGAAATGTTTGAAAACTATGGAATAAGGGTAAGCTTTGACCTTATAAGTCTATGAAATGGATGGCACATCATCCATTGTAATCAAAGCACACCTTTTTTTTTTTCTCCCCCCACAGCTGCCTTTGTTGAAGGCTTTGATTGACAGGCTGCTGCAGGATGGTATAGAGGAACTGCTCCAAGTGCTCACCACATCCAAGAAAAAAGAAAAAACTGATACTCACACCTCCAATGTCATCACTGAGTACACTGTACGTAATGTCAATCTGGATTTTACAGCCTGGACAGGAAGGATAGAAATGTAATATAAACAACCCAATATTATGTCCAAAATATGGCAGTAAAGAAAATGAAATGCAAAAACCTCTCTTCTTTTCTGTTACTCTTAAATTCATCTTTTTTAGTCTTTATATTTCTTGCGTAAGAATTTTGTTTTGCTAATCAAATCAGTCATTATGTAACATTGTGAGGAAATAGACTGTTTTTGTATTTTTTTTTTAGAGTTCTTTGAAATTTGATCTCACCAGCAAGCCGCTGATAGCGTTAGATGATGAGGACCAACATTTAGAGGTCCAGCCGCATGATCCTCTGTCAACTGTAAGTATTCACCTTGGTAATGGTGGACACATACTAAGTTGTTTTCCTCATAAAATAAGAACCATGGGAGTTCACTATATCACACACACTCAACAATACATGCAGGTCTAAATATATCAATGCATTTCCACTGAACCATCGCATGTCCCACATTGACAACACGCTTTTTATTGCCATTAACATGCAGCAGTACTGAAGTGATGGGGCCCTTTTATCTCCCTAATTACACACATCCTGACGGTCGTCCATTTTGTTTTCTCTGAAGGGTCCTTTGATTGAAACTGCAGAGGGTCCAACGCTATGGACCATAACTACAGTGGACGGAGAGAAGAAACTCACCAAATTAAAAGGATCCAAAGGGACAGGGGAAGAAGACTGGGACGGGGACAAAGTGTCTTCACTCAAAATGAATCTGACTCTGGTCAATTCTACCTTGAACTATACCAATCTTGAGGAGGTAGGAACTCCTAATATCCTCAGCATTGTTTGGGACCTCATAATTTAATGCTGCTTTTGGGTGTGACTGGTTCTGTTTTCTGTCATTTTTGTTCTTTTTGGTTAAATATTATTCAGTTCAATAATTTCATCAATTAGCGCTCCGTGAATCACTCTATAATTAGTATTCTAAAATCTACATTAAATATTGAATTAAAGTAATGTTAAAATGCAATTTGATCATAAAAAAACGATCCATGATTTCTGTAAATGTGTCTTTAGACAGTCTCAGGGTTGCCTGAAACTGTGCTGCAGACAGTTCTCACACAGGACGAACCGCTGAAGAAGAACTCAGCACCAAAGAAGAAGAACAGGAAACATGGGAAAGTAAAGCTGCCGTAGCTTTCTCATTAATACACTTTAAATATACATAAAATACATAACACTGCTCAGTTTAATTTAATGGTGCACACTTGCCTTTCATGTTTTAACTTATTCTACACAAAACAGAATGATGTGAATTCGAGAAAAAAATTTCAATTCAACTTTGCCATAACTCTAATTTAACAGTAATAAATGGTTTAACTTCAATCAGCCACAAACACATTTGTAGGTGGATTTTTGTCTCAATAACTTTGCATCAACTGAGTTATTTTATTTTTTGTCAACATTCCTCTGAATAAATGAAGAAAATTATCAATGAGCTAAAACATGAAGCCAGTGGTGTGATTCAAATAATAAACTTTGGATTACGTCTTGAATATTTTTATATTCACCTTGATAATCATTAACTTCTTACTTGCTGTTAATATCACTCTAAACTTATCAACCATATTTCTACCAACATCAGAAACATGAGGAAGTTTTATCTTTTTTTTCTCTCTCTCTTTCTGACTGTGACTTCTTAACCAGGGCAAAGGAAATAAAGGACGACATAAGAGGCAGAGACAAGGCCTGGTAAATGTCCTAGAGGGTGTTGAACTAAACATAGAAACTGAACTTATCTTTTCATTTAAACTGACCAAAAACAAAAAAATTAGGGGTGTAACTGATGATGCAAACAATATTACCAGCTGAGTTGAAGCCAGCAGTGGCACTTTTTGATGTGACTCTTGGAAGAAGATGAGGGTTCTTAACATCTTAGATAATAGTTTGCTTTCTTTGTGTGCAGCAGAAAGGGAAGCTTGTCCATGTCATTCATCCAACAACCCTCAGTGGATGTGACATAAAATTTAATGAAAGGAAATGCATTGGTCTGTTTTCAGTTAGCAACTTAAAAACCATGCATCTAATCTATAAAAGCAAAACATGAGATGAAATCTTGAGAATTAGTGTTGTCTGATTTTGAAGTGAGACGTTAATTTTGTATGGTAAAGGTATTATAATTAAAAAAACATTTAAACTACTGATGTACACTGCAGCTGGGCAGGGAAGTATGGGCTTCCCTGCCTGTTGGTGGCAAATAACCATTTCTAAACTTTTTTAAGAGATTGTACTTTGATAACAAAAAAAAGTTCCCAAAAATATTGTCATTGTGATCTTGTTGTCTCTCCGTGAATGCGGTGTGCTGCATTGCTCCGTCTTGTGAGCCGAATGACTCGTTACACCCCTAATGTCCACTAACACTTCTCGAACTACTAAACTTCAAAACAAACTTCCTCGCAATTCTAACATGACATAACATAATCTGACAAGAAATAACAGCCCTTTTAACTAGAACTAAATAACTAATTCTAGTTATGACACCCTCAGTTAACAGTAGATTTTATGGATGATGCCTATATGATATGGAGCATGTATCTGTTTTAATATCTATGTGCTTCCAATTAAAATGTTGACTTAATCGGTGGGTTGCTTTGCCATTTCTTGGCTTTGTTCTCAGCCACACAACTGATGTAAATGTTGCTAATTGCAATTTTTTCTCTTAAGATGAATATTGACCACAAGCAAAAGGAAGATGAAAATGAGGACTTCTACGACGATGAAGAATATACTTATGAATACGAGGTAGGCAGTGGTTGACCAAATTAGTAATTCAGTCTCAGTTGGGAGCTTTCTCTTAAATGTGATGTTGAAGACGTGGATTATTTTACAGATTCAAGCTCAGAAGATATAAAAAGGCTTTTTTTCTCCCCCTCCAGTGTCTCTGGGGACTCCAAAATATCTGTGCCCACACAAATACTGGAAAGCGTTGATTAACGACACACCCACTACCTGAATTTAATCATTAGGGTTGAATTAGTTTCAGTGCAGCTCGCTTCATCTGCTGTGTATATTTTGCACCAAGGGTGTGCATGTTTAAAAGTTATGATGAAAGAATTTTTTGTTTCTTTCTTTGAAACAGGAAGAACTTTTCCCAGACGAACCTACAGTCTCTCTGGAGAGGACAGAGAAGAGAGAGGTAAATTTGCTTCAAACAGAATGCTCTCATCTGTGTCAGCTGGACTGGGTATAAATGTTATGATTCATTTTTAATGTAAAATATGCTCAATGCTTTTTTGCATGCGGCTTGAAGTCTAAATAGAAGAATCCCCAAGTGCTGTGGATGAAACAAAGCACAATTGAAACAATAGATAAAAACCATTGCAACAATATAACGCTTATATTGAATTATGTTCTTATAATCATCTTTGCAGGAGGAACAGCTACTCACACAAAGTCCAGACCTGTTTGAAACCTCCAGTCGTCCTCTAGCCACTGTCAGAGAAACCGATGCACAGGTAACTACTCATTATGGGCAGCATACTGTGTTGTTTTAGCTTGGTCAGCATGCACAAGGACACATCCATAAAATGAAAGTAATCTTTTTGTTCCAATAAAAATCCCCATATAGGAATATATTAGTTTGTTTTTCCCTCTGATGCAGTTGAGGAATGTCCCCTGAGTGTTATTCAGAGAAAGTTAGTTTGCTCTCTGGAAAGTTTTTAAACTCTTGTAAGAGGGTCAGTCAAAAAAAAAAAAAAAAAAAAGAAAAGAAAAAGTGTGTTGGTAAAAACATAATTTTTGTGTAAAGCATTGAAACTCCCTGAACTTTTTACATTTTGCCACGTTACCGCCAGATACCGCTCTGGGTGTTCCTTGGGTGATGTGTGACGGATCAACTCAACATAGCACACAGTTGGTGGAAGGGAAGTGATTTAAATAAGAATCTGATAAGTGTGGAAAGCTTCACCTGAGTCAGAGCTCTGTGGAATCTATTCTGTAGCAACGCCTGCTCAAACTGTTCAGAAGCAGATCTGTACCAACTTTGCACATCTGCAAAGGTTTTACTTGTTCTTTTAAAAATTGCTCAACTTCAATCAGACTGGATGAAAATCTGTTATAAACATAGAATTTTAATGCTTAGTCTGGACTTTGATTGAGCCATTCTCTGTACATCGAGTCCTGCTGGAAGGTTCATTTCTACCCCAGTTTTCTGCTGCCTCTCATAGTTTTTTTCCCCCTACATTTATAATCCGTCTTCCCATCAACTCTAATCAACTGATCTTGCTGAAGAAAAGCATCTAAGAAGGATGATGCCCTTTGCTTTTTTGACATGTGCGGCAAAACGGTCTCATCTGAAAAGAACGCTTATTCCAAATATTGTCTTTGTCCCTTACATAGCTTGTGGGGGACAACAGCAGGACTTTCAACAATGGCTCTCTTCTTGCAAATCCTAGGTGCTACCAGTGCTACATTTTATTTGTCAAACTAAATGTCAATAATTTCCTTGAACCTCCTGAATTCAATGTGACAAATTGTGAAAGTCTAAGCAGTCTGGATCCCTTGTATTGGTGTTGCTATCGCTTACAGAAATGCATCTATGGACTTTGAATTACCTTCTTCTACTATTGTGGATGAATGGTTGCATGCCTCTGTATCCTAGGTTTTAGAATATGTATCTCTCTGTATCCTAGGTTTATAATTGACTTATAATTCAGCCCTAAAGACTTGTGTCTTGACTTGTACTTGTATTCTTGGACTTGAGTCATTTAATTTTTCCATCTCATGTAATCAGAAATGAAAGCAAGTTGCCATTCAGTTAGACTATTGCGTCATTGCAAAGTTATTTCCAGTTGACAATATAAACAAAAGCACTTCCTGTTCTCAGTGACCTTCTCTCTCATTTACTCGATACACTCTTTGCCCTTCTCAGCATGCTACACACCAAAACTTTACAAATGTCACTGCTATATTTTATGACACTATCACTGAAAACTCTGCAGACACCTGTTGCAGGTTAATGCTCTGTTGCATCTTATTTCTTTATATCTGAGAGGGATTGAAATTAAAGTGTGTTTGTAACGCTCCTTTTTGATTTTGTTCCTCTCAGATTATCACAACCACCACATCACCTTCTTCATCTCTGGATAGTGTAGATAAGGTAAGGAGGGAAGCTCGCTGTTTCATTCTTGTCCTCCACAAATGTTCAGGGAGCGGTGAAAAGGGACTTCTATTTAAGCCTCTGTTGCTCAGAAGCATTGCATATAACCTGAGGTTGAGAAGAAAAATGGGCAAATTAGGATCGATTAGATTCTGATGTGACTTACTTTTGCTTAAATTGCAAAATAGGCTTTTGGGCTTGAATGGCATGGGCCTTTTTACTTGTAATTGCAACGTTTTTACTCAGTATGGTGCTTCACTTTTGTGCTGTTGCATTCGCATCCAACTTTTAAGTTTGATCTGCTTGTACAACCCAGGATGAGGTGACTCTGCCCACTCCTCCGGCAGGAACAGGAGAATCAGATAAGGTAGAGTTTCTATTTTAAATCTTATCAACTTATATTTCACCTGGATGTTTCTTCAACCTTTGCATGCCTTGGAATGCAAAACCTTTCTTCATACAATGATTTGCAAAACTATTTGTGCTGCTTGAACATTTGACACTTTTACAAACCAATGTCATTTATTTAGATTTTATGTAATGGACCACCGAAAGTAGTGGATAATTGTGAAGTGAAAAGCACACTAAAAGGAAATATTTTTAATAATTAGTACATAGAATTTATTGGTGTGTAATCTAGCATCATGAAGACCAAGGAACACATCAGTATTCATATGAGTCTTTTTCTTACACTTCACTTTTTATCTGCTACTTTGTGTCATTGCCTCCACATAGAACTGAATAAATATACATTGGTGGTTTGCATTTTCAACATGTCAAAATGTGGAAAAACTTGATTTTGCGAGACACTAACACCAGAGAGGCATGTGGGATTGCTGGCATCGTGCTTTCTTCTAAACATTTCACCAGTTTAAACAGCGCACCTATCCATGTATTCATATCTTATCATATTTAGTTAAAAATCCTGAGTTACTTTTAATACCTCTCTCTCTCTCTCATTTCTTTAAACAGGAAATCTCTTAATTCCCCAGAGACTACACACAATTAAACTAGTCACTGGTGAAGATTCCTGAACCTGAGCAACATTTCACAAGCGGGGACTCCTTTCCATACAGAGACAAAGATCCAAAACTATGACCTTAGAAAAGGTCTATTTAAAAAAAAAAGAACATTTTAGTGGAGAAAACTTCATGTCTATTCAGTTAATCCAGCATAGCCTCCCTTTCTTGGCCATTTTAGACTCTAAATTTATTTATTCCAATGGCTTTTAGTAATTTAGTTTTCTCTTTACCATGCGCTGACAATTTTATCAAATATTTTGTGTTTCAGAATTTAAAAAAAATATATATATATATATTTATTGAAACAGGAAAAAAAAAAAAAGTTGCTTCTCTAATTTTCAACCGTGTTTAAATAAAAATGACGTTAAATGTGTTTTGAGCCATTTTATAGATTGATTCAGCACTGTTTCCACTGGTGAAAGTTGTCATTACTTTGTGTGTCTTTAACATCCATATGCATGTATTTTTAAGTAAAAATGTTTAATACTATGAACCAGTCTGTGTCTTTTTTACTGTATTGATTATTATAGAAATCCACCACACACATAAAAACAAAACAAGCCATGTGAAAAAAATAGGGCTACCTATAACAGGTGTTTCTCCTCATATGGGAGGGTATTTACAAATATCTATTTCACTACACATCGTTAAGAAAACTGTCTAGAATTAAGAACAAACAGCAATAAGTCCAAATGCTTCATCTACAAAACACAAAAATCAGCTAGATTTTTTTGTCGGTATCTGTTCATTTTCATTTCCATGTAGACCAGGTTTTATTGGGCCTCATTAAAGTTTTCCAGACAGATGCCAGTTCTCCTGGAATCATGTTCTTTGGATAGACAAGCCTAGAATTTAATCATTTGGACAACAGAAGTATGGAGAATGCCTGCAACTTTCTAGAAAAAGAACATCATAAAAACGGCGAAGCGCGGAGTTAAACTTGCCATGCTTTATGACATCAATGAATTCAAACAGGTTAGCATTGTCCTGAAGAAAAAAATACGGGGCCAGCTGCACAAAAAGGGGGGGAAAATTTAAGATGCAGCAGAACTGGATCCTGGAAGTTGTCGTTAAACCAAAATCATAACAGTAAATCTACCAAGGCCTGACTGACTAATTGGGAAAAGTAAATTTATGGGCCAAGTGGAAGCTGAATGTTTTGATCCCATTGAGATGCTGTGGGGTGACTGGAAACATGCAGGAAACGCCTGAAAACTCTCAGCTGAAACATAAAACAAACTTTGTTTTTTATTTGCAAATTTTTCTTTTCCAAAAATATCAAAAATGAATTGTGAACATTTCTGAATAATGAACTGAATATTAAATGAAGTGTGCTGATTTATTTTTTTCAAATGACTGTACATGATCACTACAATATGAAGTTAGCTTACTAAAGGTTTTGGTCACATTACAGGAGCCTCAGCCTCAAACCAGAGTGAAAAGAGACACATTTTGGCATGACTCAATGGTAAGTTTCAGCTGGATTTGTACAAAGAAATAAAAGATAAATGAAAGTTATTAATAGTTTAACAACAGCAATGGCTTTGCATTGCAGGTATTTATTCCAGGTGCTCCAGGTGGAAGAATCCGGATGAAGGAAATGCAAAAAGTAATTTTCTCATCTTGTTCTTCCTTTTAAAAAATTCATAGTTTCGAACATGAAAATGCAATTTCCTGGTCACTGTGGAACGAGAATAAGATTTCCCGCCTATTTTACTTCCAGAATCCGTCCTCTGGAGCGCAGGGTTACAGCAGCTGGAGGGTAAGTGTGTGATCAGCAAGGCACCAAACAAACACTTGACAGGTTGCTGAATTACTTTTACTTATAAATATGTTGCTTTCTGCTTTTCTAGAGACAAAAGCTCAACAATCTCAATGCTCAGGGACATGCAAATAGGGAGAGGCAAGAAATGGGAGAGAAAGAGATATACAGTGATGCAAATGGAGAGATAATGTTTGGACCAGATGATCTGACTGAGAGAGTAACTGTAGCAGAACCAGAAGCCGACCCTGATCTGGTCTACGAGGTGGAGGAGGAGAGGAGTGGCGACTACGACTGGGAGACGGAGGAAGATGTCGATCGCGAGAGAGAAACCGAAGAGGAGCTGGAGAGGCAGCGCGAGAAGGAGAGGCTGGAAATGGAGAGGGAAAGAGAGGAGCTGGAGAAGGAGAGGGAGGCCGAACATGAGACGGAGAGAGAAAAGATGGAAGGGGAGAAGGATGTGGAGCAGGAGGTGGAGAGAGACTTTGAGAGGGAGAGGAAGGAGTGGGAAAGGAGGAGGGCGGAGATGGAGAGGGGAAGAGGGGGAGGATACAGTGAAGAAACTGGACAGCCATACCCGTACCCTCCACAGTACTTTTTTCAGAAGGTAAGAACCCAAAGTACACTAATCCATTCGCTCTGCGAATAATAGAAAAGATTAGTGTAAAAGTTGTCATTTGTGCAAACTCACCCTATTAAACATTATTTTTATCGCAACATGTGACAAAGTTCATGGGCCACATACAATGCAACACATTACTTTGACAAAAAGGTCTGAACTTTGCTTTTTATGTCTAATCGAGATCCAACACTTCTCAATCAAAATAAAAAATTTCACCTGTTAAACATCTACAGAGAAAAAACAGTTGAAGCAAAACATCGGATTGTCTCTAGACCAACAACCTCAATTTTACCTCAACTATCTAATTTGTTGCTCAACTGGTCAATGTAATTAATCTGCACAATACATTAAGTCCCAGTAGTGATATTTTAATCACAGAGCATTGAAGGCAGTATTTAGTTGGGTACATTCACTCTGTGTGTCAGGCAGTGAAACTGCATGCTGATAAATATTCAGGTGGATGGACTCCAATTTCTCTTGATGTCCACAACTGATGTTTGTGTCTATTGGATAAAACTCAAAAGTGTTTTTTCAGGAAAATTGGGAGAATCATAATCAGTTGCATCATTGTAATTTGTAACAATAGTATGACAAATATTTTCTTGAAATTGTTCAGTCCTGTTGCTGGAGTTTCAGAATGTGTGCAAAGATTATAGCAACATCAAATGACTCCTTTCCCAACACACAGTGCATGCATGTCTCTGAATTTTGAATGAGTTGTGCATGTTTGAAATGAATAATTGAGTTAATTAATAATGTACATTGATGCATTAAATTGAATCATTTCTGCGACAGGGGCAGCCAGGTGAGAATGGGAAACCGGGACCAAAGGTGACTACTGGTTTATTTTAAGATTAAAACAACATTCAGAAACAGATCATGTATAAATACTTAGATGCATCCAAGTCTTACAGGTTTAAAAACGAAGCTGGTTCAAAATCATAAATTCTGAATTCTGACGAGTTAATTGGCCTTTTTGATTCAACAAAGTAGCAAAGTTTAAAACTATTTGCATAACTTTGACCTGGTGCACATTTTGTTGTATTTTTCTGGAACAACACCTTGAAATCATAATTTGAGGCCAGAAATTAAAACATCCTGATGATTATTTGGGAATGTTTAAGCAGTACAATCAAAATGATGCAACGGTGCATTCTAATTTTTTACCTTTGTGGATAAATGTTCCTGCTGTTTTCATTAAACTTCCATTGATTCGTATGAAACTGTTGCTCATATGAAAAATGACTGGATATTCAGTCATCTGACGATCAGTGAAAATAAAACATTATGAAAATACATTTTCTGGAGAACGTCCTTTTGATTTAGTTTGCGGCTCTGTTTTGTCTTTTTCCTCATCGTTGTGAACGACCGTTAATGTGAGACGGAGTTCAGCTGCATCCTGCAGAAAACTGCTTCCTGTTCCCCGGAGCGTCTTTTCTATTTTCTGATTACCGACCGCATGGATGTTGTGTTGATTGACATTATGTAAAAGAAAAATGACAGTTCATCAGGTGGCTGTTAGGGATATTTTAATCAAAACCAATTTAAAGAGCCATCACTGTCCTTCCTGGAACCGCAGAGATGGTCTAATTTAGTAACACACTGGCTTTCACATACAGTGGTTGTGTCTTTGTTGATTCAAATTAACTAGGTTTAATTATAAACACAGAAATAAAAAAATAAAAAAATAGAGAACATATTTTAGAACATTACAACTGCAAATCCATTTCTTTAGGATTTTATGTGATGGACCAACACTGAGTATTGTACAACTGGAAGAGTAAATAAAAAGTTTAAATTCTGTTTACTCACCCTCAGTCAGTTCAATCTGATGCATGTATTGTTGGTCTTTCCCATAACACAGAGTCAGGTTTGTGGATAAAATAAAATTTCGGGGGGAGTGAATAGTTTCACTCCCATCCTCAAGTGGCTCGTAGTTCTCGGTTAGGATTTACTGAGTCGTTGTTGTTATCACACAGATTACACTGGAATCAGTGTGATCAACATGGGAGCATGAAGCAAAGGTCAACATTTGCTGAATGAAATGTGCCACCAGCTCATGAAATGATCACGGCCGCCCCGCTGCCGATCCACACAGCCTCAGTAAATGACATCAGAGCTCAGGGAGAGCGTCTCTCCCGTCTCGCCTGTCAGTAACGCCATTTGAATCCAGGCCTTTGATGTCTCCTCTGCTCTACTTCTGTATGACTCTGACAGAGATTAAAGCAGGCATTAATAATTCCCCTTGTTAAACACGCTGACAACCCTTGTTTTTTGTGTGTGTGAAATTCCTCTGCGTTTGCTTATTTGGCTACTGTAAAAAAGTTACCCTCCAATTTATTTCCCTAACTATGATGTTCTGGTGTCATTTTTCAGGGGGAAATTGGTGAAAAAGGACAAAAGGTAAAGTTGGTAAAAATTGTAACCCACTATGTTTAGATGATACATATTCACCTGACTTTTTTTTTTTTTTTTAGGGTGAGCCAGGTATTGGTTACAGAGGGCCAGAGGGCCAAGCCGGCCCCCCAGGGCAAAAGGTAAAATTTCCCTTCTTATAAAAATGAAAACGAACAAATATTATGCCAACAATTAACTGATAGCTTACGTAGAAATTCTTGGAAAACCAATCAGTCCCTGCAGATTGGTTTCTTTAACATTAATTTTAATTGATTTTGTTTCTCATTGCAGTTCTAATTCAGGGAATTAATTGGTCCTGTGACTCACTCCCGCATTTAAATCCGTGCTCGAGCTTCTCCTTTGCGAGAACGACTTGAACCGAAAGCAATTATTCAAATGTGATAAAAGAGGCGAATAATTGCATTACATGGAACAAAGTGCCTACCTGAGTGTTTGCCTTCCAAACTTTTAGTTCTTCTCGGCGTTTTTAACGCGCCTCAAATTGTTGCCCCAGGGTGAGCCGGGTGAGCCAGGACCTCCAGGAGCGCAGGGCATCCAGGGCATTAATGGAAATGCAGGAATACAGGGTATCCCAGGACTCAAGGGGCCTTCTGGAGATCCAGGAGAGCCAGGCAGAGAGGTAAACAATTATATATTAAGCTTCAAAAACACTTCAGAGGAATCCTATATTCTCTTTCATTCTGGAATGAAATTAGCTCAAACATAGAAAAATACAGAAATTATGGAAAGAGTTCTTCCATTAAAGCTTTGTGTGTCGATGTAGGGTGAACGGGGTAAAAGAGGGAAGAATGGATCGACTGGACCCCCAGGACTTAGAGGTGCACCAGGGCCTGATGTATGAAGAAACTTCCCTTTTTTTCATTTCTGTCTTTTGCGATAACTTTAGTCATTGTAAACAAACAAACCTTGTAAATATCAGTTGTGATTTATTATCAATTTTAACAATGACAAAAAAACAAAGGTTGTGTAACTGCACAATTAAAGCTGACAAAACATTTATTAAAGACTTTGGGGGATAATATTTAGGAATTAAAAAAGTCCCGAAGATGTTAAAAGTAGTTTGTAAAAAATAAAAAAATTAAAATGCTGAAAAGCATGAAGCTGGAAATGTTGCACTTGTCCTTGCATTTGGTTTTCGGTTTAAACACATTCATTCTGTGTACAAAACAGCTTTACTTGTTGTTTGAGGACAATCAAATCACTTTATTTAAGCAACATAAAACATTAATATGAGAACATTTCTTACTGGAAGGATGAACGTTGAATAGGATGTCATGATGTCTACCTTATAGTTTTTGTTTTCATGTAAAATCACCACTCTTTCAAGGAACATTTTAGCCTTTTCACACTGTTTAGTCTGATTTTCTGAAAAGAGCCAAATTTACCATGTTCTCTTTGAAGGGTCTTCCTGGAGTACCTGGTGTCAAAGGAGAAAAGGTAACAACCTAGAATTTTTTTTTTGTCTAATGGAAGTTTATGGTGTGTTCGATTTCTTAGTCAAAAGGTAGAATTTTAATTGTTTCATTGAGTCTTAAAAACTCCCTGTGCAGAATTCCCATCTTGAGCCAGCTGATCCTCAATGCCACAGAAAACATAAACCTGGCATTTACTGTTCACTTCCAATTCTGTCTGTTCGTAAACCTGTTCCATGTTTGAATGCTTAAAATGGAACAAAACCCATTGGCATACCTTGTATTGAAAAATTAATTATTTTAAATCAGAAGTACCATTCCCAGCGACACAATGTCTGAGACAAATTGGGCAGGGATTCGAACCGGCAACCTACGGGTGACGAGATGTAGCCCAACACCTCCAAATGTCTAGAAAAATAATCAGCATAAACTTAGTGAGAGTACAATCAGTAAGCTGTTTTAGTTCATCATTGTATGTTACTCTTTTTTTATTATTATTATCATTATTGTTATTCCTTCAGTGTTTTTCATTACTAAAAACTAAAACTAGAAACATATCGAGCAAACCAAACGTCTCAAATGCACCAAATATTTCATCAGGGTGACAGTATTCCAGGTCAGCCTGGTGCCAGAGGAGTTCCTGGTCCACCTGGCAGACAGGTAAGCTCTCTGCATCTTTTCATCTTCTGTTGTTTATATAGTTTTACATGTATAGTCTGTGCTTTATGGGATATTTACACAGAGTTTTCTTTTCAGGGTGAAAGGGGAACCGCAGGTGTTAAAGGAAGCCCTGGTCATATTGTGAGAAACTTCTCACTTCTTTGGAATAACTAGTCAATCTGTTAGATTTTCATTTCTTTTTTTTTCTTTCAATTCTTCAACCAGGGTCCAAAAGGCTTGCGGGGCAACAAAGGAGAAAAGGTGAGAGGCATTTACAATAGTCTCGTGTTAATTTAAAGATGTTTAAAATATGTTCATGGCTGACGTTTTGCGTTGACGCATGTTGACAAAAGCGGTAGCGGCTTAGGATATTTTCACAGTCATTACTTCGATTAAATTCAGCGTTCAGCTTTCTGCTTTATTAAATAAAGTGCTCAGTGGGTTCAGATGGTTTTTCTTGTGTGATTTGGAAAAGATATATATCTGAGAAAATCAAGAAGAAAAAGACGAATCCAAGAACCAAAACTAAGTTAAAAACAAAATCCCATAAACCACGATGAATGTGTCAGAAGGCATCACTCAAACAAATATACATACATAAAACTGCTACCATATTGCTTAAACTTTCTCCGAATGGATTATGGAGCGTTTTGGTGTTGAAAGGTAAAGTAGCTGCTTAATGAAGCTGCAGATAAACCTTCATGTTGTCTTAATTTAAACTGAATTTGTCACCTTATGATGAAAGGAGTATGTTTCCATTATCATTATGACACTGATATCACTGAGGCAAGATGACTGATTGACTCATTTCCTGACTGAAATATGGGCATGTTGTGGAAAAGCTATTTGATTATGTCAAAAAAAGAAAAACTACGTAGGTATGCAGACGACTTGCTGTATCTGTAAAGTTGGGTCAGTTCTGTTTTCTCGCTGTAAGTTAAGAGTTTCATTCAAAACTGTCGACCTAATAATATTTTCTTACCGCATTTTTTTCCTCTGACTCAAAGATAACCTGCAGATGTTTTCCCCTCTAAATATTTAAGTTAAATATATGCCAGAGATAACAGTGACACAATTTGCTTATTAAACATATTATTAAATAACAAACGCCTGGAAGTGTACTCACAAGACCAGCCTTTATATAGTCTTGTCTTTGTGTTTTTTTTTAATTGCATTTCACATTTAAACTGGAGCTCTGCTGGTTTGTCGGCCATCAGCTCATGTATTTTCTCTCTCGATTTCACTGAGTCGCTCAGTGAAATCGTAGGAATTATTTGTGAATCTTTTGAGATTTGTCAAAGGTAGACTGGCTCTTTGCTTTCCAGCAGCAAAGAGCCGTGAAATATGAAACATTTATTGACTTTTCGGATGAAAATGATTGTATTTCGGAATATGTAAGTGGCAGCTGCGCTTCTTTTCAGGGGGACCGCGGCGTACCTGGACTCAGAGGAGAGAGAGTATGAAATTTACACACGCCGCACCCTGTTTCAGTTGAAATTTCATTAAATTGCATAACATATATATACTTTTTTTTTTTGCCCAAATCCATTTTTTTTATTTATTTTTTTTTATTTCTGACATGACTTCGTAAATTAATTCCATCCTGTAGGGGAGCGTACTTCAGATTCAAGGACCTCGTGGTTTCAAGGGCTCCAAAGGGGATGCGGTGAGATCCTCTTTATTGTGTAGGCCTTTCTTCTGTTGCAAGGAAAATGTAATTGTGTTTGAAGTGTTTTCAATTCTACAGAACTTTAGATTTTGCAGACCTTTAGTTTAATCCGTACGTAGAAAATGAACGGAGAAATGAATACGACAAATTTATTAGCCGGAATTCATCTGAATGGTCTTCTGAATATATGAAGTTTATGTCCAGATGATCCATAATTGAGAGAAAGAATCCTTGTTTACGTTTAGTCAGGCGGCATCCTGCAAAAAAAGACAAATAGGAGTCTTACTGGAACTGCGACTGGCTATTCAAAACTACGGGATGTTCAAAATATTCTATTTGATTTTAGAAGCTTCATTTCATGCATCAAATGTGGTCAACGTTTACATCAGTAGATTTTCATCTAATGCAACAGTATATGCACGATTTACCCACTAAATGCATGAAAACCTCTCCACGTTTGACGAGGAACGGTGGAGAAACCCATCACAGTTTAGCGGCTGTGCAACTCGCTTACATTCAGAGAAACGGGTGTAAATCTGCTTACTAGAAAAAAAAAGTCATTTTTCCAGCAGTAGTGATGGTATTAAAGGAAGTTATTGGACATGTTGTTTTAGGGTGAGAGGGGCCCACCAGGTTTTGACGGGGATAAAGGAGAGAAGGGTGAGGACGGTCCTCCAGGAGTAAAGGTAACAAATTAAGTTTCTCTCTGGGTAGTAATCTGAAGTAACTTGCATTTCCTTGCAAGTTCTCTTGGCTTTTTCTGTCTCAAATTCTGACTACTTGTCACATGTACACATTTTTGCTCAATCTGATCAGGGCCTCAAAGGGGACGCGGGCACTAAAGGGGCACTGGGTCGATTTGGAGCGCGAGGGCCGGTGGGCCAGAAAGTAAGCATGACATGCAGCTGAACATCAGATTCAGTGGGTTTTGCTGTTTGACAGCGCTGTGATAAAGATGGTCGCATTTTTTCATAGGGGGAACCTGGAGAGCCAGGGCTGAATGGAGTGATGGTAATAAATCAGTAATAATTTCTAAATTTTCAATTGGTAAAAATAAGGCTGTCTTAACAGAGCTATTGATATATGTACATATATGTACTCTAGAAGTTAATTAAGTGATGATGTGCAAAAACTCCAGTTTTTTCATTCATTCTAGGGGCTCAACGGACAGCATGGAATGGATGGAGAAAAAGGCGACAAAGGAGATGTTGGACTTCAAGGCATGCAGGGTGATCAGGTACTATCAAACAAAAGTACCAAACTTGAACAAAACCACTGCCCTCATGCTATAAGCTTCTCATTGTCTTGTCAGAATCCCTATGTGAATTGAAAAATGTATTTTACGAGTTATGCGTTGGACATTAATTGCAATTCCTTTTAATGCAAAAAAAATATTGACAAGTTCTAGCCTCACAATTCCTGCTTGCAGTATGACATTTTATAGCTGCGGATGAAATAGACGTAGCCGCTTATTATTACTGATGTGTATCTGATTCGTGTGTTTTTCACAGGGCGATCCAGGAGAACCGGGCTTTTCTGGGAATACAGGGGAGAAGGGAGAAAAGGTTTAGACGTTCATCGTGTCTTTTGTAGTTCAGTATTTTCTTCCATTTCCTGATGTGATTGAGTTTCCGGTTTGCTTCAACCTTTCCCAGGGTTTCAGAGGGTTTTCTGGACGCACCGGTAATCCCGGGCTTGACGGCGAAAAGGTTTGCTTTGGCTTTATGATTCTCATGATGTTAAAGAGTAAACTGTGTCATCTGAAGTCAAAATGTGGAAAAGTTCATGTGATTTGAACTTCTTCACATTCTGTCGCTATAACCAGAAACTTTTTGGGGGATTATGTGTACCATGTATCTCTTATCTTCAGCTTAATAATTGTGCTCTTCTTTGCACTCATCTGTCACATAAATACCAATAAAATACATTTGGGTTTGCAGCAGAAATGTAACATATGAAACGATTCAATATTTAATCTCCTAAACAGGGAGATCCAGGCGTGCCTGGCAGTGCAGGTTTACCAGGACTTAATGGACTCACAGGACGCAAGGTGAACATACAGATCCACTCATATTTCCACTCAACAGCATTTCAAGAGACTCATTTTTTTCTATATTTATAAAAATTCAGGGGGACAAAGGAGTTGGAGGGACCAATGGTGCTGATGGTGACCCAGGGGAGAAAGGGGATAAGGTTTGTAAATTCAATGTATCATTACACTGGATACATATTTAGTTTTCTGTAATATAATGTGTTGGTATGCCTCACATCAATTGTTTTGTCCAATTTAGGGTGCTGCAGGTTTCCCTGGATTTCCAGGCTTCAAGGGGTCAGCTGGCAGTCCAGGATTAGATGGAGATGAGGGACCACCCGGGGCCCCTGGTCCTCGTGGGGATACGGGACCCAAGGTACTTTAAACTGGTACTTTCTCGTAGTAAACCTAAGTATCAAATGAATGTGCATCAACACCAAGAGCCAACAATGCCGCCGGGTTTTAAGTTGTGCATCTCTTGAACAGCCTGTTCTTGCCTGAGGTTAAACCCTTTTGTCTTTGTAATTCTCATTTTCTAAAATGCAACCTTCACCTTAGATTGTGCTTTTTTTTGCCACATGTCCATAAATATTTACTCATGACCATTCAACGAACATAATAAAGTTTACCCCTGACCCCTCCTGAAAAGAATCCAGCTGAATATCATTTGAGTCAAACAGACTCTCTTCCAAATATTCACATTTCCCCAGCAAATTTCTCCACTTCATGTAAAAACACAACGGGGTGGACTGAATGTGTGACACGGCGATGGGGACGAGCGGCGCTTGATTACAGTCATCATCGTGCCTTCGTGAGAGAACGACAGCGTGTGCGAGGCGTGCCGGGGCTCTGAAGACAGCGGAGACACGTCCCAAATTAACACACACACACACACACAGATCTATTCTTGTCTGCACCCTTCAAGTAATATCTTACTCAATTACATCCTTTCAGCAACAATTGCCGGACGTTCCATGTTAACACAGAGTGGCTTGAAAGTACTGATGAGGATTTTCCAAAGGTGCATCGAACTGATCTGTCTTTCACTGTGCGGAGCAGTTCTGCTTTTGATTGGGTGTCATGAGTTTTGTCTTGCAGGGAGGCTTTGTTCAAAAGATACATTTTCCTCTGTGTACTTTTACTGACCAGGGTGAGCGGGGCAGGAGGGGCAAAACGAGGCCATGCCAGAGGGGGGTGCCAGGATCCCAAGGACTGCGAGGAGAAATTGTGAGATCTATACTTGAAAGCTGTTTATTCATTCCTTATATCAGTGGTTTATCCAGCTTGGGACCCAAAGCTATCTACTGAGAGTTCTAGTTATGCTTTTCAAAAAGCATAAAGATAACAAAAAATATTCTCTTTTGCTTTTTTTTTTTTTAACTAAAGAGTTCTGTGTAGATAATATTTTATTTTTACGCTTCATTTTTGAAAGAGCTAAGAACAACCGCTTGCTGCAAGAGATCAAGAAATTATATTATCAGGTCTTTGCGGCTAAATTTGTGTAGTGGTGAAATAAATACGTGCTGTGCCTATTTTACTCGTCACGTTTGATTTAGCACTTGATTTAATTTTAGTTTGTATTATGTAAAAGTGTCCCTTAGTGTTACTGCTGCCACTACTTGGAATGGATGAAAACCATGTTCTAAATGTTTGTTTTTAAAAGAAAATCATATTTATTTTTCTTATTTTTTTGTTTGTACAACAGTGCCAATTTATTGTTTTTGTGACATTCAGGAAATCCTTAAAGTGAAAGTGCTCATGTTTTATTACCACTAGGGTTCAGAGGGTATGGAAGGAGCAAAGGGGGAAAAAGGAGAACCCGGATTATCAGTATGTTATCTGAATATTTCCATTCATAATTATTTTTGAAGCCTTTTCGAAGACCTGACCACCTAAATGCTGCTTCTATCTTTGTGAAGGCTGAAGACGTGAAGGAGCTTGTCAACCAGGAGGTGGTTGAAAAGTGCGGTAAGAGGCTGCACTTTATGCATTTACTTTACTCCGTATTTTGTCCGAAACTGAATAAACGTGTTCATTTCGGGAGGTCTACATATTCTGACAGTGTCTGTGTGCATGTTGGTGTGTACACGTGTGTGGCTGTTTGCTGTCGAGCTCCTGTGGCAGCAACATGGCACCCCTGTGTGTGGAGCCATCTGTTATGTTCTCTCAGAGGAACACGCACCATGGTGCCAGTAGCAGTAGAGTCATTCACAAACACGCAACTCCAATTAAGAGGGACGCCTCCCAAAAAAATTATGTTCACCTACAAGACACGCAACCGCGACATTTTCTTGTCAACTTTCATGTTTTCACACCACAGTTTCCTATGCAAGAGATGTTCTGGATTAAAAATGTTCTGTTACTTGATAACATACTGTTGATTGTGTAACTTTTATTTTTATTTGTATTTTTTTAGGACTGGAATACAAGTTTATGGTAAAGTCTGTGGACCCGGATGCATCATACGTGGTTACTGGTAGCAAAACTACCAGTAAGCCCAAAGATTTGGCGATAAACATCTCTTCTGTGACTGAACGTCGTGAAGAAAGGACGAGACATGACGCTCAAAAACAAGAATCCAACAGCAACATGAAAGAAGTTACAAGTACTCTTCCACTGAATCTCGAAGAGGCCAGGAGCTCACGAAATCACACTGGTAAGAAAAATAAATAAACTGCAACACAAATGTCAGCAGATTTGAACCCTCTGGCCAAGCTCACAGATTGCTCAGCCACAGTGTGACCAAAAGTGGGACTAAATGAGCACACAACTCAAACTTATGTGGAGCAGCTGTGTGTTGGACATTTAAAATGTCCTGTCTGTGGTTCCTTTTTTGCGGTGGTGGAGATTTTCAAGCAAATGGTAACATAAACATGGAAAATGCGTCATTTGCATGACATATGTTTCAGAAATGTAAATATACACTTTTTATTATTAAGTGACACTCTATGAAGCAATTAATGAAAAACATCCACCGGCAGAAATCACTTTATTTGTAATTCTAGCTTCAAAATAATAACAATTAAAAAAAAAAAAACATCAATATGCTCTAATATGATGTATAATGAACATTTTATTCATTTGACCAATATTACCATTCCATGGTAATTATAAAATTATACATGAAATGACATAAGTATTGTTTTTAACCGGGATCTGCAGTGTTCTTGCTTTACCACTGATAGGTAACATCTCCAACAGTACAGCAGTCAAATCACCTCAGTTGGGTTTCTCTTGCATAAATTTTGATGTGTTTGCACTTTGAAAAATCGACCCTCAGGCAAAATTCTGATCCGAGACTCGAATATCCGACTGCTGCAATTGAGTGGTTTAAAATAATCCAGTGCAGACATAAATCAGTGCAGTTTTTTGACCAGTAATTTCTTGTTGTTCTCTAGGTTTTTTTTTTAAAGGCTGCTCAAGGCTAAGTCCAGAACATACAAGCCAGTACCAGAAAGACATTGTGTAGATCAAAGCAGTTTCATGTCAGACTGCTTCCTGAGCGACTGGGAGAAAATGTTGGTCTGTAGAAGAGTAAAGGAGAAACAGACCTCAAAGGACGTTTACCTTTTACTAAGTAACAGGTTGTTTTACAAAGTATTCACTCTGAGCGACCAAAATGCAAACATGCATCAAGTTTTACAGATTTTTATTTGCAATTTAAAAGAAAAAAAGCAACAATGCATAATTTTCCACCCAGACTGGAGTTATTCACTACTTTATGTTGGTCTGTTATACATAACTCCATAAAAAAACATCTATGTTGATGTACTTTTTGCTCAGTAATCTAATTTAAATTTATTGGGACCACCAAACAATTACTTTTGAAGTCTTAATTTACATTTCCTGAATACAGTCAGTGAATTCATTTAGTTTTGTTCCTTTCAGTTCTACAAACTCCATCTCAACCCTCTATATAAAAAAAGAAAAGAAAAGAAATTGAATGCTGGTCATATTTGAAAATTTCTTCAAAAATCTGATTCCTCCAGAACTTTACATTTAAAGTTTGCATAACAATATTAAAAAATGAATGAAAGAATGCTCCACGACACCCTCATACGGCATTCAAATGAGTCCAAAATGCTGCCGGCGCTCATTAGGTGCTGGTCCAGAGAGAGGGGCTATGTGTTCGTCTTTGATGGCTGAGTTCAGTGCAATGTTCAACTTCTGATTAGACGTATTTCTGTCTTAAGATTCTCATGAGGGACGGGCTGTGAAGTCGAGAGAGAGGAAGAGAAGACGACTATCTGGTTCTAAGGATGATGGTGAGTGGCCACGACTTCCAATTTTATTCCTATTTCAGCCAATTCCTTTGATTATTTGCTCAGTCTTTTTTATACACAAAATATGAGCTGAAACAGTTTATGCTTTACTGTATGTGTGCTATTTCTTAAGTATCAGAACCTAAAAAATGATTTTCTACTTGTTGGCTCTTCATTTTAAGTAAATACTGCGACAAAAGGAGAGCATGGCATGGGGTGCAATGTGAAAATTCCTTCAACAGAATAAAAATGAACAAATTTTAATAACCTACATTATTTGCTTTATGGTCTCATTCCTATGTTCATTATAAAAACAGTAGGTGTGCAATGAGTTTTTAATTGACTTCTTCCAGTTGGTTTGTTTTTTTTAAATCAATAATGACACAATTTGACATTTTTTTCCTGGGATTGCATTTGAAACAATTACTGTGGAAAAGCTCGGTTGCTCATGACGGTGTAGTTGGTTTCTAATTTGCCACTGTGGGAAAATCTTTTTCACATCTTAACTCTGTAAGAACTTGGATTCTCTAACTACTGAAATTTGCGAAACCCTAAAAAAAATGTGCTTTTGTATATTTGTTCATGGAAACCTGTGCAAAGACTGTTTAAATGTAATTTTGTGGCAAGTCCCTCATTTTTCTCCTCAAAATAACTCTTCTTTACCTCACTTGTACTTTCGGTGACAGATTGCTGTTTGCTACCGATGTCAGAAGGAGCTTGTTCGGAGTACGCTCTGGTCTGGTATTTCCACAGCCAGTCGGGGGAATGCAGGCCTTTTGTATACGGCGGCTGTGGTGGCAACCAAAACCGATTCAGATCTAAACAGGACTGTGAGAGTCTGTGTGGAACAAAGAGTGGAGTGACAGAAACTCGGTCAGCTCTGACGGAGGACCTACCTTCAGACAGCTGATGCAGAGATGGAAATACAGCTTTGGCGCAGTTTCTGTCTGTCAGTGTGGTGTTACTGAAGATACGCTGTTTTTGTTTTCTGATTTTTCTTTATTTATAGTTTTTTTTTTTGTGAAAGCAATTTGGTTTCTGGACTTTTACCAGTGAACAGAATTGGAATGTGAGCAACATTATGCCAGAGCCTGTACTTTTATCTGTTTGTTTTATTGGTGGAACTGACATTGATTGAGGTGGGTTTTTTTGTTTATGTGATTATAATTAATACTACTGATGAAAAATAAAACTGGTTTTATGTGTGTATTTTTTTTTTCTACACCTGATTCTGTTTTCACCTCATTCCTGCAGATCGCAGTCACCTTTCTTATGCCCTACATAATGCAGTTTGCAAAAATACGAAGCCGGTGGCTGATTTCCTTCTGTCTCTGTCATCACCACATATGCTTGTTTGGTGGGGGGTGAAGTGGGTCGGGCTGGGAGCCAGAGGAGAGGCCAACAGGGGCCCAACCAATCTACATCATACAGTCTCAGGAGTAGCAGGGGATTCCTGTGCGGTCGCTCTTGTAGGGGTGACGCACATTAGCTGGGACCTTTTCCCTCCCTTTTAAAAACGGACATTGAACCACATTGGAAAGGTGGAGATTGGAAAGTTGAGACATTATTTTAACTCTTATGGCAATATTTATGTCAAATGTCTGATTGGATGGGTCTTCTGTTGATCACTAAAAGTAGAAAACATGACCAAGCTATCAGAAAATGCTTACATGAGCAATCACCCTCAGGCTTCCTTCGTGTTGGTCACGATTCTTCTCCCGTGATCAACACCCACTCTCCAAAATGCTTTACAAATACCCAACATACAGTGCCTGGCAGAGGTACACTTAAACTTTATCACAGTTTTCCATATTACTGAAACAAATTTCAACATGTTATTCGGATGTTAAATGACTGACCAATGTAAGGTCCAACTTAACTGTGAAGAGGAAAAAAAAATAGTTTTCAATCTGTAAAGCAGGGATGTCTGGTGTTCTGGGAGTTCACCAAATGTTGGGGGGGGGGGTTGAACTTTTCGTTGGGGTTGGGTGGGGCTGCTGCCATGGGGGCTGAGCTGGGGGGCCAGGGTCTCCCTCTCTTTATGGCTCTTGGTGGATGTGGGTGCCTATTGGAGTCTTCACAGTAACTGGCTTCCTGGGAGAGTATCTTTGCAAAGTAATTTATGTTCAGTTTTAAAGCACTTTGTGTCAGCTTGAAAAGTTGTTTTTCTTGCTTTTTACTTTTTCGTTTTTTCTTGAAATATTCTTGTTGGAACATTTATTAACCGCCTGACAGCTTTGCTTCATATTTTTACTCTCTCATTGTAATTTAATTGCATGGAAAGAAATGGGAAACAATCCAATGGTAGAACAATCAGACATTTGTCATATGACCGACTCATTTGCATGATTAATCCCAAATATCAATACTTTTGTCATAGAAACTGATAAAAAAATAAGAGATCTCGTTGAACAGGCCAAGTATCTTGTAGAACTTTAATGCAGAAGCTGTAATACTGAAGAGGGCCATAAAAATCAATATTAGAGATCAACTACAGGGAAGAAGTGGGAGGACACTTGGGTCTTCAGTCACAGTGTGATTAATTGAGCTGTGAATGCCTCAGCTCTTATGAATGAAAATAAATTAAGTTAATGAAAGGAATATTCAACAGGGCTTTGATTCAGTCTTTATTATCATTGGTTCTGTTTGTTTTGCTGATTTGTAGGTTGGTGTATAATTTTCTTCAAAATCTACAATTTTTAAATGTCTTGTCAAAAAAAAATAGTATGTAAAAAGTTTGACATGCTTTCAGCCCCACTTGTTTGTTCTTTCAACAAACACTTTTTACTTCAGTCTCATCGTCGTAACTCTGCTTTAAACCAGTTTAGAGTTGTTCTCTTCTTGGACCAGAAACCACCTCTGTTTCCTTTTGAATGCTTGATTCTTTCGAGGACTAAAAAGAAGGTGAGTAGGAAGCATACAGCGGTACAAAAACATATATATTTCTTCATATATTTAAAAATGAGTCACTATTTTCACTTGCATAAGTTTATAGTGAAAATCCATTGAAATCTGTTGATGTAAGAACATTTGGCTCAAAGGGAGCTCTCCGTGGTGCTGACAGGTTTAAAGCTTTCTCATTTCAAAGTCAGTTTTTCTACGTCGTGATGACTTCCGTCCATAAAAAGAGATTGCAACTTTTTTATTTATTTTTTTCCCCCCTCAACCACTACATCACTGCATGGCGACCAATAGGACGACTCGGAGAAAAACCAAAATGTCAAAGGAGTGACGTTGTTGCTGGCGTAGGGCTGCAGTTTGAAGTGTTCTACTAAATGCAATGGATGAGGAAGACACTCTGCCGGGCAGACAGACTGCGCGCACTGTTGCTCTCCAAACACTGACGGGTTTGTCGGGGTTTGAAATTCAGAAACTCGCAGGAAGATTTCTGGTTGTTGGCTTCTCTTTCCAGGCTGGTTCCAGACCAAAAGAGTGTTCTTCATCGTAGGACAAGAGAGGTAAATACATGTTGTTTTTGTTTGTTTGTGTATTTGTTGTTGTTTTTTAAACATGCATTTGTGTTTTTTGGGGCGGACCTATTTCTCTTCATCAGATTGGGATGAACTTAAAATAAAACGCTATATTTCAAATATTGCTCGCACCAAAAAGAAAAAAAGTGGACTGTTTCTCTTTTTAAAAAGTGTCTTACATACGGTTTTGGAGAAGAAAGTAGTTTTAACTAATTTCCAACCTCTGCATCTCTGTTTTCTTTTCCTTTTCGTCCCAGAGGACACAGCATGCTGTCGTCCCTGAAGACTCTGCTGCTGCTCTCCGTCCTGTGCGCACCGACGTCCAGCCTTTGCCTGCGCCTCTACCAGAGCGGCTCCGACCTTCTGTGCAGCGACCACATGGCTCTGGGGGCTCGAAGTGAGGAGAGCGAGCCGGGCTACTCCCCCGTGGACGCCTGGGCGTCCCTCCTGCAGTCCGCGGACTATCTCTCCTCATCCTCCTCCTCGTCCTCCGCGGAGTCCAGTCGGGAAAAAAGGACTTCAAGTCCCGCAAACTACCGCTTCATGAGCCGGACGAAGCTCAGAGGGCAGATGCTGCGCAACAACATGAAAGGGGACCGGAGGAGCAGACTGACCCTGTCCTTGGATGTCCCGACCAACATCATGAACGTCCTCTTCGACGTGGCCAAAGCCAAGAACCTGCGCGCAAAAGCGGCGGAGAACGCGCGGCTCCTGGCGCAGATAGGACGCAGGAAATGAGAAAACAGCGGAGAAACTTTGACTCGGCAGAGGGCAGTGACTAAATGTAATCAATAACTCTTTTTTTTTCTCCTCCAATAAACAACAACTTGTTTCTATATAGGGGAACATTCCAAATATCCACGCTAACAGGTGAAGTCATAACTGCAGTGATCTCAATGTTTGTGAATTAACATCGTCTTTGTTGTACAAATCAAAGCGCAGCGAGAAAACCTGCCTGATATTTGACTTGACTTGATGAAGCGGCGTTAAAGATGACTAAATTTAGTTTGAAAATACATCAAAGTGAACATTTGATGTAGACTGAAGTTTGTTTGTGTTTTTGTTTGGTTTTTTGCTTATGATAACGCTTAATTGGCCTAAATGACTTTTGATTTAAAATATTTTTTAATAAACATGAAAAATTCTTAGTTTTGCAGTTGTGAGAAGCGCTATTTTACATGGTGCTATGAGTAAAATCACGTGATTCGCTTGGTTATATGGTCTTAATTCCAGAAAACAATAATCTATCGATTGTTTTTTGTTTCTTTTTATCTTTGCGCACTAATGTCTGCAGAGTAAGTTAGAAAAATATTGAGATGTGTTGGATTTTGCCTATGTTTAGATTTGATGTTTTTAGGGCGAGCATAAATGTCATTGCTGTTTTTTTTCTTTTCTTTTTTTTGATGTGTAATGTTTTTCTTTACTTAAATTTCCCACGAAACAGTGGCGCAAACAACTTGCTGACAATGAAATACTGTACAAATCATCCGCAGAGACCATGAACATAGTAAAATGCAAATGCATGTGAATGTATGTCGTCATCAGATGTCTCTTATTTTTCTACTTTCCAATAAAGGATTATTTTTCCTGAAATAAAGCAGATGTAACAACATACAACTGCCTCTTTCCATACAATATTAAACGACAAGATATTTTCCCCACTGTCCCAAAACATGACTATAGGTTAATCGTTTACTCTAAAACTGCTGACGCGTGATTTTTTTTTTTTTTTTTTTTTTTTTGTACCCCATATCTTTTCCTATTCCCCGTGACCTTGGAAGAATAAGTTATCGACGATGGATGGTTGCAAGCAATCAATCAATTAGTCAATTTAATGATTTGTATAGGACATTTCGGCAACAAGGCAATTCAAAATGCTTTACATCGTAAATAATCGGAAAATAAGACTTTACTTTCTATAAAACTAGAGCATTGCTTTTTTGGTATCAGCAAATCTGCATTACTCTGTATCTTAAAATAATGTTAAAATAAATAACTAATAATCCAGATTAGTTCATTTGTTTGAAGGAGTCTGTGTAAGTAATGTCGTTTTAAACTTTGGCCAGTAGATGGCGGTAAAAGGTACATTCGGGAAAAAAAACACCCGTACTCAAATCTTTATATTAAAAAATAACGATGGTCTTAAAAATGTACCTAAATTTAATGTCACAAAATTTTACTGCATTATAAAATTTGTTGCCGATTAGTATTTCCAACTGCTTGGATAAAATACAAAACTGCGTTTCTATGTATGTTTTAAATTGCATACCCTCTCGAAACACGATGCTGAGAAATGCTGACATCCTGTGGTCACTTTTGGCAACTGCACTCCAGATGTGGGTAAATCAAAAACCGGAGGTATATTCAATATTTTTATTTTTTCTGTGGTTAATATTATAACGGTCCTTAATTGATCTTATTAGAAGCAATGGGACTACAGAAGGTTCTGGTTCACATGTAGAGCAAACGATGACCCAAAAGCTAGATTTTGAGTTCCCTTGAATTTATTGATCTACTTTGGTTAAACAACGGCAAAATAAAAATAGTTAAAATGACACTTCAGTCACATCGCACTTTTAGCTTTTTTTATAGTAATAAAAAATAAAGAAAGAAAAAAAACTGTCAACAGCGTCCTCTGCTGTTTTAAAAGTTGGTATTCTATTACGTCATTTCCGTCGACGTGGACGCCCCCTAACAGGAAGCCAGTCTGCATTTTGGCTACGTGGAAATAGCTCCTGG